AAAGATGTCCAGTTGGCAGAAGCACATCAGCAAGAGTGCTGTCAAAGATTTGAGAAACTTTCTGAATCTGCAAAACAAGGTAAAACCACTTCAGAACACCACATTAAGGCAAAGCTTTGCAGTAGGTGTGCCTGAGATGTTCTTCCAGAGTTTTTCAGTCTAGAGTTTATTTGCCTTGTAGAAAGATGTAACTTCTGCTTGTGATATGCAGTCTAGGGTGTTCATGACTTTATTCCCTAGCAATCAGCATAGGGATAAACATTGAAATTGCTCTGAAGTGATGGGTGGGATCTCATTTTTCTGCATCAAGTTCGACAAGCAGCATCTGAATCATGGGGATGGCAAATGGAGTCTGGTCCCCTCAGTAACTGTGTCAAACATTACAAGGGCATTTTTTGTCTAAAAGGTGAGGAGGCAGGAAGCTTATGAATTCTTTAATGGCCTCCCTACCACTTTCCTTGTAATTTGAGCACTGACCAAGAGTACTGGATTACCCGATGGGCAGACTTACATTTTGCAAAGCAAAAAATGAGTTTTTTGAATCAAAATGACACTTGATATTCCCCCCCCACCCACCCAAAAAAGAGAAAAAACCCAAACCAGCTGCCATGGGAAAAATCAGAACTTTAGGACATTCTTAAATGCCACTAGAGTTTTATTTTATGGTTTAGTATTGTTTTTGTTTTGAATTACACATAAGGGTAACTATAATAATTTCTGTTCTTCGGGTCTCTAAAGGTTTGCCCTACTGAGCATGAACTGAAAATAAAACCCCACCTGCTTCACCCAGTGTATTCCACATGTACATGCTCTGCCAGCATTGAGCTATTTCTGTGAATGAATTTTGTTGGTTTGATTGCTATTTTCCCTTTCTTTACCTCTACAAAATCCTTCTAAATTTATTACTAGGGCTAACACTAAGAGTTTGGGACAAGTATTCATTACCTTCATCCCAGACTTTTGATTCAGCCGACAACCATTTTGCACGGGGGTTCCTTTCACGGCCCCCGCATGTATTGGAGGAACACGTATGAGCCTGCCCTGCCCCCATTACACCCTTTTAGCGACGTGTTGAGTGACGTTTTCAGGTCACTTCCAGGTTTGGCACCATGGATACGTCCACGATCATGCATCTTTCAGGCATACACATTTGTCGATCGCTGCCTGCATTTCCCTTTCCATACTGCTATGGAAATCTTTCAGAAAAACTGGCTATTATTTGGAATAGATATGCATCAGCATGTCTGGCACTTATTGATAGATTGACAAAATGGGTTAATTCAGTTACCAAGTTTCTCAAAAGACATAAAACATTTTGCTGCCTGTAAAAGTTACTCATTCCTGTTGGCAAGTACTCAACATCTTTATGCTAATGATTTGTTCATGTGTTTGTCATTTAACTCAATTAAAATGAAAGTGGCTTAAGCTATTGGAGCACTAACTCTACCCAAATGAATTCCTACACTAATGGAAGTCCATGTGTGTTAGGTTCTGGCATGCAGGCGTTCTTCTGCAGAGGCAGCACTCTTCTCCTACCCAGCCCATCTGTAATGCACAGGGTAGACTCTTGCTGGTGTGTCCGCCCACCCCCACCCCCCATTTGTGCCTAATAATGAAACTGAAAACAATTCTCTCCCCACCCCATTAGAATAATTTTCAGATTATGCAAAAATAATGTAGTGATTTAAAATTATTTAAGACGATAAGACCACCCCCCCCCGAGTCCATCTCCAAGTGATTTAACATCTCTGTTCTCCCAACGGCAGAACTGATCAACTTCAAACAGAAGCGAATAGCAGCATTTCGTAAAAATCTAATTGAAATGTCTGAGCTCGAGATCAAGCATGCAAAGGTATGTGTTCTAAAGTAAGACACTGGTTGGAGGCTGCCTTAACTGTAGAAAATACTCCACAGTATGCATTTGGGGGCAGTTCAGCGTATTTGTCCTTTGAGGGCTAGCAAACAAGCCTTTTGCAATATGAAGACTGTTCAGGTGGGGGGGGGGATTGCTAATTAAGTAGTTTGATTTAGTGTGTTTTATGCTGTCAACCAAAACTTTCAATATCACTAAATAAGCCCTGAAGTCTTCAGCTTTTTTTGGCATGGTAAAACTTTTCAAATATGGACAGAAAACTTGTTTAAATTTGTTTCAAATAACTTCCGTGCCACTGCTTTTCTCTGGGTGCAGGGAGGACTTGTATATGTCTGAATTGAGTACTCTGACCTTTAAGGACATTCTCATAGAGCCTTTTATATGAATAAGAGTCAGCTATGAAATGGCATGGTTTGTTTAGGAGGAGGGACTACTGGAGCATATAATTAAGAGCTAGGTGCCCAAAATGTTGAGAATTCACACTGCGTAGTCATATCCAGGGGGAGGGATGTTTTGTTCTTATTCTTATACAGAAGACCTACTTCATGTGTCTACTTAATTTTAAAACCTCCACACAAGTAATTGAAGCTCTTTCATGTCAAGCCTCAACTCAGGAAGGTGAAGGTCTGAAGAAAAGAGCCTCCTATACTCAAGGCTTCCCATGCAATTTTGAGACCTCGTACAGGAGAATCCCAGTGTCCGACCACACACCTCCACACAGTGGCAAAGAAAGCTTAGTATGCTCACTCATGATCTATCAGTGCTTGGAAAGTTCATTTTTAAAAGAATCTAGTTCTGGTTCATCCTATCCATACAGGAACTAGTTCCAGTTTATCCAAATGAACCTTTAGTCCATACAAAGTTCATCCTCTGCAAAAGAAAAATAAATCAGCATTCAGATCCTATAAGCTGCTGTGATGAAGTATAAGGTCCAACAGTGAAACAGAGGTCACAAACAATAAGTTGTCTGACAAACAGCATACCAACAGGTGAAGCTTTCCCCCCAATTGATTTCCCATACCAGAAAAGACTTACCCTGTTTAATATGTTTCAGCCACACAGCTGTTAAAGGCATAAGGCATCATTCACTTTGGTCCCTGTCTCTGTATTACTTGTTGCAAGTTGCTCCTGTTGGAAGAGAGCAAACAGCTTCAGCAGGGAAGATAAAGAAAACCCCTCCATCTGATTGTTTAGAAACAGTGACTAAGACATTAACCACAGCAGCATCTCTATCTGGCTAATAAAGTCATACCATGTTGCCTCCACGTTTTGTTTCCTAACTTTCTTTACTAATGCTCAGTAGTTTGTTTTTTAAAAGTAACAGCTAAGAGTTTGGCAGGGGGAGGTATTGAATGTGAAGATGAACTAGAAATCATTCAAAGTTTTGCACCAAAATGAATTTAACCCACCTTTATAATAATAATAATAATAATAATAATAATAATAATAATAATAATAATAATAATTTATTATTTATAGCCCGCCCATCTGGCTGGGCTTCCCCAGCCACTCTGGGTGGCTTCCAACCAAGTATTAAAATACAGTAATACATCAAACATTAAAAGCTTCCCTAAACAGGGCTGCCTTCAGATGTCTTCTAAAATTTGGTAGTTGTTGTTCTCTTTGACATCTGGTGGGAGAGCGTTCCACAGGGCGGATGCCACTACCGAGAAGGCCTTCTGGCCTGGTTCCCTGTAAACTTGGCTTCTCGCAGCAAGGGAACCGCCAGAAGGCCCTTGGCGCTGGACCTCAGTGTCCGGGCAGAATGATGGGGGTGGAGATGCTCCTTCAGATATACTTTAGTTCACCTGGCAGTTATAGTAACTGCATCTGCATAGGGCTACAGTGTTGAGTTTATGTATGTAAACTACCAAACTGACTTCAGTGTTTCAGATAACAAGAAAAGCACATTGAACGAGACTATTTGAAAATACATTGGATTATCTATTCTGTGGTTAGGTTTGATGGCTCCCTGTCTCCTCCACCTAACGGACTACTTCTTTTGCCTTCCAGAATAATGTTTCTCTCATACAAAGCTGCATTGAAGTGTTAAAGAAGAACTGAAGGCAACTTACCTGTGGGGGGTGGAGTGAGGAAGGCACTTGGAAATTGCACTCAAACGGCCACATGGGACTGTTTCTAGCTTGGTTTCTCTATACCACCTTTTCCTGGCTAAAAACCTAACCAAGCTGACACTAATGCATTGATCTCAATGATTAAAAAAAATTGTATTACATATAGATTTGCTTGAATTTCCACTGACGTGTTAAACCTCAGGGTAAGCAAACAATATGTGTATGAGTTTGATAACTGGTAAATTACTGTTGTGGAAGAAACTGGTTTCTGGAAAAATGCCTTAGCACTGGAAATGAGTTTGTGCAGTGGAAGATTTGAAATTACAATCTGTCATGGTGCCTGTTGCATATATACCATAACCCAAATATCTCTTATTTCCATGTGCAAATGACTACAGCTAATGCTTTGCAGTTTTATAAGGAAATGCATTAACATTAAATTTCATAAACCTCTACTGCAATAATTTTTGATTCACTGTGTATGTACTCTTGAATACAAAATAAATGTCTACTCTTGATTTATGTAGCATTTAATTGATGTGGAGTCTTCTTTGCTCTTGTAACAGTAATAGGCATCTATGTTTCATGGCTATTTTACATATTGAAATGTGCAGTGTAACTCTCATTCCACTGGCTGAAGCGACTTAGTATTGCAACAGAAAAAGATGAGTTTATTTAATTTGATTTAATAATTGTATTCCACTTTTCCAACAACAAAGGTAGCTCACAATAACCACAATAACATTAAAAAACAAACAAACATTGAAATCACAATAATAAATTGAAACAGTGATTAAGTAAAGGGGACCCCTGACCATTAGGTTCAGTTGTGGCCGACTCTGGGGCTGCGGCGCTCATCTCGCTTTATTGGCCGAGGGAGCTGGCGTACAGCTTCCGGGTCATGTGGCCAGCATGACTAAGCCGCTTCTGGTGAACCAGAGCAGCGCACAGAAACGCCGTTTACCTTCCCGCCGGAGTGGGAATACTTTTTTATCTACTTGCACTTTGACGTGCTTTCGAACTGCTAGGTTGGCAGGAGCAGGGACTGAGCAACGGGAGCTCACCCCGTCGTGGGGATTCGAACCGCCGACCTTCTGATCAGCAAGTCCTAGGTTCTGTGGTTTAACCCACAGCGCCACCCAAATGATTACTGTTCAATAAAGTCATAGTAATTCATAGTTTTGCCAGGATACTTCCTAATCACCAGGAGCCTTACTCCACAACAGCAGCAAAATGAATTAATTGATGGCTTGGTAACTACATTGGTATGTCACCAGGGGAGTCCACAACTTCCCAAGGAAGACTGTTCTAATGTTGAACAGCTCTTAATGTCAGAAAGTTTTTCTTGATGTTTAGTCGGAAATCTCCTTTCATGTAACTTGAAGCCATTGATTTGAGTTTACCCTCCTGGTGATATTATACCAGTTACCTGTCATCTGCACTAACTGAAAGTCTGTTTCTGGGGCCAATGTCTGATACTTAATCAAACTCCATTGAAGCAGAATTTGTTTTTTCTGTAAATGGTTGCTGTTTGTATTATTTTGGAACAATAAACTAATTTTCATCATTTCTCTATATGATAACTCATGGCTCTCTATATATTATAACTTAATGGGTGTGTTTTTGTATTTTTCTGTAATGTAAATAAAATGTAATGCCCTCCCCCGAAAGATGGGGATGTTAAGATCTGAGGCATCCTATCTCCTGGCCAGACACCATTGTCTGTTCATCAGCACCTAGATACAAGCACCATGGCTACTGCTACATACCTAATCACACATTTCCATCCATTTGTGAACAGGGCTGCATGAACTACAGAGATGGTCAACTTCAGCGCCTGCCAAGTTAACATAACCCAAAGAAGCAGGTGAGCAAAACCTTAGCTGTGGAGTGTCTTGACTGTAGAGCATAGTGGGTAGAGTATGACACCTGTTTTCAAATCAGAGAAAGGACTGTGGCTCAGTGTAGAGCACATGCTTTGCATAGCAAAGGCCCCAGATTCAGTCCTTAGAATCCCCAGGTACAGCTGGGATAGACTGGAATCCCGAGAGCCGCTGGCTCTCACATGAACCTGACCTTTGGTGAGTTTGTAAGTAAACCATTTTTAACTTACCAAATGTGTGGTATTTTTTTATGCTAGGGGAAGGAGCTTACAAGGGCATATGTTAAGAGGTCAAACTGCTTACATTTCCATGCTTTGTTGCTTATTTTAAGTCTCTCCTGGGGTTCTCTCACCAAAGAGAACTTGCTCCAAAGGGAACTTGGATCTTGGCATTCAGGAATTGTCCTTTCACACCTATTTTTTCTTGCCACCAGCAATCTGGATACTAGACTTCTATTAATGCAGCCTAGAATTGCAATAGCTTTTTTTGCTGCTGCATCACACTGTTGACTCATGTTAAGCTTGTGGTCCACTATAGATCCTTTTCATATATACTGCTGTCAAGCTAGGTGTCCCATTTGTTCTGCTAGTTATTCCTGCCTACATCTGCCCCTATTGAAATTGATTTTCTTACTTTTGGCCCAGTTTTCCAATCTGCTAAGGTCATCTCAAATCTCCATTCTATCTTCTGAGGTATTAGGTACCCCTCACAGTTTGGTGCCACCTTCAAATTTGATGAGCATCCCATCTAGTCCTTCGTGCAAGATGTTTATTAAAGATGTTGGACAACACTGGGTGCATCCCATTTGTCCCTTTCCCTCCCAGGAATGCAAGAACTATTGTTTGCAACATGTACTTGCTTGTGACATTGCAGTCCAGACTAGCAGTAACGGTGACAGCACAACTGCACAACACAAGGAACTCTTTTGTCTATTGTCAGTGAAAGATCTAAAAAGATTAGGAGAAAAGACTACAAATCATAACATAAATGTAAAATCTTACACATTTTACAAGAAGTCATATGCCATTGTGAGGCAGTCTCTCTCTTCCCCTGCCCTCCTTTAGCTACAATGAAGGGTCTGTTGTGAGCATGAAAATGAGATCTTTATATATACACACCAGGTGCAGAATTTAGCACTAATATAATGGTACACTATAGATAATAGCCTCAAGTGACTGTTGGGGATGCAGTGTAAAATATATAAGACACCCACTTACACAAATATACAAACACACCTTATAGGTGACATAATGAGCATGCCTCCTGATTATATGTATGTCTACTCACATGTAAGCATTACCAAGTGCAATATGCTTGCTGTCAAGTGCGCCAGAAGTTGTAGCCTTTGTATGGAAACACAAAACCTAAAAAAAAAGGGAGTTGGGAGGCTGCGAAGGGGGAAATGGCAGAGAAAAAATATTCCTGAATTAGGGTTAGCTGGTACAAAAATTGGTATTGTGCGTAGGGCTCCATAGTCCACCTTAGCAGACGTCTCTCCATCTCCTCCATAACAACTCTGGTTGTTGGGAAATGGGCAGCCAGCTGCAGCAGAATAAACACTCTGTCTCTATAAATACAAATACAGTCCAGTGCTCACACAGGCAGGAACTTGGCAAGTGTCATGAGGGGTGTGGGAATATGCGTGCGCACACAAGTAAATATTGCATCTAGAAAAAAATATGACTAGAATCAGATCAGGCATACTATTTCTGGCTGAGCTGGTGCCTGAATGGTGGTGAAGCAGGAAGCGTGGCTCTGAGAAACTTGCATCCCACCTCTCTGGTTTTTAACTTCTTTTTTTCTGCTTCTTAATGGGCACTCTGGGCTATCCATCTAGGGATCACGTGGTGCCCCGCAAGACGAATGCCTCGCAGGAATGAAAAAACTCACTATAGACCGAAAGGGTTTTTCCAGTTTTTTTTGAGTCGTCCGCGAGACAAAATTTCCCATATGGGCCTTGCTTCGCCAAGACGAAACGTCTTGCGAGTTTCTTGGCGAGTTTGTTCCTTTTCTTAAAAGCCGCTAAGGCCGCTTACATAGCCGTGCTTCGCAAGAACGAAAAAAACCGCAAGAACGAAGAGACCTCGCGGAATGGATTGAATTTCGGTCTTGCGAAGGCACCACTGTACTTCTTCTTTGGGCGATTCAACTCTGTAGCCGAGTAAGATTGTCTTCCATGAACACAGTTTTAAACAGTGTTCTGGACCACACATCCTTCCACAGTGGGGACATTGGTTTCCGGGCGGGAGTTGATCACAGTGTGGGTTTGCCAAGCGTGCCTTCCTCTTAGCACGTTTCTCCCTTTCATCCTGAATTTCATTCTGAATTGGCTCTTCTCCAACTGGAGCTCTCACAGGCCAGTGTTTCCCAATTGTCAGTGTTTATACTACATTTTTTTAGATTTGCCTTGAGAGAGGCTTTAAACCTCTTTTGTTGACCACCCGTATTTCGCTTTCCATTCTAAAGTTGGGAATAAAGTAGCTGCTTTGGAAGATGATAATCAGGCATCCAAACATGACCAGTCCAACAAAATTGATGTAAGAATCATTGCTTCGACACTGGTGATCTTTGCTTCTTCCAGTACACTGGCATCAATTCACCTGTTTTCCCAAGTGATGTGTTAATTTTTTCGGAAACACCGTTGATGGAATCTATCGAGGAGTTGGAGATGGCATTTATAAGTGGTCCATGTTTCACAAGCATACAGTAAGGTAGCATACACCTGGCACCCACATGCTGAAATCCTGCATTATTCCTCAGCCTCACCCTGTCCCCTCAGGAAAATAAATCACAATTTTTTTTTGGTATGCAATGAGATCCAAGTTCCAAAGATACTGAACTCTCGCCATTGCTGCTATCTTTTGTGTTTGAGTTGACATGTTGCTCCCCAGTCACAGCTACACTAAGCCTGGGCGGATCTGATTTAAATCAAAGTGATTTAAATCACTAGTCAGTAAGGCTTGATTTACCGTAAATCATTATTTTACAGAAAGATTCATTTTTGCTGATGTAAGGTTTCATATTTGGAATAAAAAAAAATTCAGAGTAGTTTTTACAGTTATATCTGGTTATGCTATTAGAAATGCATAGAGAGATAATTATGAAATTATTGCGAGGTTTAATAAATTAACTGTTTATATTTGGACAACTTTTCTGCTGTACTTTTTCTAGAGGGGAGGGGGGAGGAAAGATACAGTTGGTAGGCCTAGGCTGGAACGGGCTTGCAGAAAGAGCAGGCCGAGTAGAAACAGGCTGGTAGAAAGCTGCAAAAGGGGAACCAAGGACTAGCGCAAAGAACTTCAGGGAGTCCTGTTGCAGGACCAGTGGCGTAGCGTGGGGGGTGCAGGGGGGCCGGGCGCAACATCTGGGGGGGCGCGCTCGCACTCGCAGCTCTCTGCCCCTACCTGGCAGGGGCGCAAATTACTTGCCTTGCCCCGGGTGCTGACAACCCACGCTACGCCACTGTGCAGGACTGAAGTTCGAGGTAGAGACTTTATTGTTTGGACAATGTCAGGGGAGAACGGCCTGGAACCAGTGAACTGTTATTAGTTGACTGGCAAGCTCTTCAAAGTCTCACCAAGGACTTACAGATCCCATTTACTTTTTCCACCCCTTTGGATTTGCTTCTACGTTCAGGTGCCTATTCTGTACAGTTACAGGTAAGTGTTAATGCAGTTGTTGGAACCCAGTGGGATTGGGAAAAGGTTGCCAGCCCTGAAGTGCCTTCAGCACTTGCCTCTAGTCTTGAGTTGCACAGACATGCAACTGGCTTGCACAATTATTACACAAAGATCCCAAGACTCATGGAGTATTCTGCTCACAAGGTTGCACTTTCATTTTTACTGCTTTACACTTAGCTACTTGTGCAGATAGGGACGCAGGTGGCGCTGTGGGTTAAACCACACAGCCTAGGGCTTGCTGATCAGAAGGTCAACGGTTCAAATCCCCGTGACGGGGTGAGCTCCCGTTGCTCAGTCCCTGCTCCTGCCAACCTAGCAGTTCGAAAGCATGCCAGTGCAAGTAGATAAATAGGTACTGCTCCGGCGGGAAGGTAAACGGCGTTTCCGTGCGCTGCTCTGGTTCCCCAGAAGCGGCTTATTCATGCTGGCCACATGACCCAGAAGCTCCCTCGGCCAGTAAAGCGAGATGAGCGCCGCAAACCCCAGAGTCGGTCACGACTGCACCTAATGGTCAGGGGTCCCTTTACCTTTTACTTGTGCAGATCTATTCCACTCCAAACAATCTATTCACTGAACCTCTTGGAACTTAGCATTTACAAGGTAAGGGGTTGATTCTGTGTATATAAATTTGCAAAAGAACAAAGGGATTAAGGGTTTTCCTCAACTCTGTATGTTTATTTTATAACATTTTTCCTGTGAAACTCACACTTTTGAGAACTGCAAAAACAAGCATCTGTGATAATATCTTCTCGTTAGAAGAACTGTCCCAAATAATCTTACAGAAACCTCTGGAAGCGCATGACATTGTGAACGGATTAATGGAATTAATTTACCAAAAAATTTAAACATTGCATATAAAGCCTCATGCTACATAATTAAAAACAAATCCTTATTTCCTGATGAATTGCCTTTGGACTATAATGTAACTTAAATAGAAAACTATCGATAGAAAGATTTTTCCTCCTAAAGCATTTTGTTTTTAAAAATCCGATTTATTATTTTTTAAAATTGACTTTTTTGATTTTTCTTAAAAAATATATTATTTTTATCCACCCTGGTAGGCACCAAGCTTATTAAGGCACGTGTGCGTTGCACAGATTCGATTTTTCCATGTGCAATTTTATTCACATATGAGCACTTTCAGTTTAAATCTATTTCCCATCCACACTTGGGATGATGCTTGATGGAATCTATTTGTGGGGTGTCCCCCCACAAAAACAATACCTTTGTCAGTAGCCATGGTTTAAAACAGTGTTTCCCAACCGGTGTTCCGCGGCACACTTCTGTGCCGTGAGACATCGGTTGGTGTGCCGTGGGAGGGAGGCGGGCGAGAGGCGGCGGCGGCGAGGATCCGGCGGGGGTGGGGGGAGCGGGGGCCGTCGCGCGCAACCGAACTCACTTGGCGCGCTGCCGGCTTGTCCTCCTTCAACCCGGGTCGGGCCAGGCCTGCTCACGTCCCCGGATCCCCTAGCAGCAGCCGCACGCTCTCCAAAAGCGCAACGCTGCGCGCAACCGCTCGGCCAGCTGGTGCTCTGCGACTCCGCCCTTTCCCCTCCCAGCGCCGGAGGGTTCGCGCGACCGCAGCTGTTCCCTTTCGCAGCGCGCGGGAAACAATTCCAGGCCGATTGCCTTGTGCCGAAAAGCACCGCCTCTCCTTCCAGCTCAGGCCCGGGCCGCCGGCTCCCCGAATGACGTCACGGGGGCGGGGCTTTAATGGTGGTGTGCCGCGAGATTTTTTTCCGGTAAACAGGTGTGCCGTTGCCCAAAAACGTTTGGGAAACACTGGTTTAAAAAGGCATTGGAATACCGTCAATGCAGAGGAATTGCATCCATCTCAAGGGAGAAGGAATTGCAGTGCTGAGACACTGCTATAAACAAGGCCTTGGTGGTGGAAGTCTAAGGAGGTTTCCCCAGCAGATACCCACCCCTGGGCAGGTATACTCAATACTTCTGGGGCTCCTTATTATTTGTATTTTCATTTATATTCTATTATAACTCCTCTGTCTTGCCTCCTCCTCTTGTACTACTGTTCTAGATAATGGCTATCAGAAGCAGGAAATTCCAGGACTTTGTATCTGAGCCTATGGGTGACAAACCTATTATAGTAGTTGATGGCATAAATGAGGAGCTTGGAGCAAAGCTAGCGGCAAAGGGCTTTGACAAGGTAATTGTTTTAATGCTTTATGCCCCACAGCACTTTTTATTTATTAACCCACATAATTCATGATTTACCTAAATCATATTCACATAAAGAAATGTCTTGAAACCTGGTATTTCTGACATTTGTGTTGCAATAGTTCGCAAAGCCTGACCACCATTGGGCAAATTTTGTATTATACAAGATACCATTGCTTTTATAGACCAGGTCTGTCAATGTGTCCATTTTTGCTAATTCAACACACTTCAAAAACAAATCCTTCACAGATGGAACATAACGAGGTGGTGTATTTCCGTCTTCTAGCCCGTTCCACTCTGGCTGTGACTATTAGGACTTTTGTTAAGGACTTCTGTTGTCCAAACACATCAACCTCAGTCCAGTGAAATGCTGCCCCAAAAGACCTCTGTTGAAGCCCTGCCCTGCCCCCAGTGCTAGATCATTCCTGACCAGTTTCAAAGCTGACATTATGACAGATAGAGTCTAGAAGGCAGGGAGTCTTGCGTCTTATGTCTTGCCAGTGGTCACACAAGATGGGAGATGGAACTGCAGGGCCACTTTCCATACATTGGCAACTTGACTTCCTTGCCAGATAGAAAACTTTATATTTGTAACCTCTGGCCAAGCAGTTAAGAGATCCCAGGTTTTCTGCATCCATGGAGCATGGCGGCGTTTATCTCCCCAGATGCCAGATGCCAAAACCAGCTGGAGCCCAGGCGTTCCAAACGGGGCTTAGGGAAGCACACAGGAAGACAGAGTATGCACAAGTGTGCTAGCCCTGTCTCTCATCTCAGTCACCTTCTGCATGTTCCAGGGTGATTGTCTCCAAGGGAAGGGACTCCAGAGCTTGTAGAGGTTTCCATGTTTTGAAGCCCTGGTTTTCCAGGATTTCAAAATGCCCAGGGGCCTCTGTGAGTACAGGAGCTTTCCCGCTACACACAGCCACCTTTGAACCCATGGAGGGCGATGAGGATCGAGGACAGTGCTAGTTCCTCTGTCTCTCTTCCTTGCGTGTTTACTTAAGCCCCGTTCAACATCTGAATTGGACTTGGCTCTGTGTTTGATGACAGTGTTTAAACTGCAATCATGCACTGCCTCCTCTGTGAACCCAGTCTAGCTTTTGGGCTAAAACTAGTTTGGCCCTTAACATTTTCCTCAAAATTATCCACTGTGGGTGCTGATACTGAATATCTGACAAAATGTTTCATCCACATTTAGCTGAACTGAACATACTAGGAAGCCCATCGTTAAGTTTAATTATTTAATTATTCAGCTAACCATTCCGAAAAGCTAAATAGGTCAATGGGTAATAAACTGACCCCACCCACCCCACCCCCGTCAGAAGGGAGTTGGGTTCAACAAAAAAACCAAGTGTTGAAAATTGAATGTTTTGGGCTCAAATTTCAATCTCAAATTCCAAATGACAAAATTCACAGATTTGCCACATTTCCCCTCTGTTTATTTCAACATATATTTCAGGCCTGCTTTTCTTGCTACTGGGGGGAAATACTAATTCTGCTTCTTGATTTTCCTTCCAGGCGTACATCCTCCTGGGCCAGTTCCTCCTCTTGAAGAAGGAATGTGCTACATTTCAAAAGTGGCTGAAGTTGTCCTATGGAGCCAGCAGCTACCAGGCTGAGCGCTGCGCCCTCTGTCTCTTGGAGTGGTGCCTCACATTCCTGTAGGATCACAGGGATCCTCCACGCCCCAAACACACACACACCTCAAAACAACAACCTGTTCCCCCTCACAGACCTGAAACCAAGGATTTCTTGCAGTCATGATGTTATTAAACCAATGAAGCATTTATCTATCCGGCTGGGACTTTATTTTAAATCATTTATATACAACTTTTTATTTTTTAAAAAATATTACAATGGTTAACAAATCTAAAACTCACTAAACATGCTTAAAAATGGGACATTCCCCCCAAGAGATGCAAGAACACAGCAAAGGAGCCACAAACATGGAGCACAGTAGTCAGTTTCAGTTTCTCAAGTGTAGGAAGGGAAAAATCTGCCCATTTCAGTCCTCCAGTTTCTCAGTTTTCAACCTGCAATTCAGTATTCCACACTTATGCAGCATTATGCTTGCAGTTTTGGCTAACGTACACATTTTTTTCAGGCAGTTTCCCTAATACTATGCATTTTGGTATGTTTTCACAAATAAAAGCACACTTTATTCTAACATACGTATTTTTATACACATTACTTGACTGGAGAAATGCATCACATAATTTGGAGAAGTGCAAAATGGATGGCTATGTTTTGGTTTAGCTGTTGTTTCAGAAAATGCAAATTTCACCTTTAAATGTGAATTGAATTGACTTTCTCCCCCTCCCTACTCAGCACCAACTGGTATGAATAGGTTTCACCTTTCTGTGTAAAGTTAGCAGGGAGAAGTTGGGAATTCTCCCTTTTAAGAGAATTTGTTTACAAATGAACTTTTATGTTTATATATTTAAAAGTTTTACAAACCATGAACATTAAATCACAAAACACTGAAAAGTTCCTTCCTCCTTTGCTTCTGCAAGAGGAATGGCCCCATGCATGGATTCAGAAATTCTGGTCTGGATGAGTGCCAATGAACTGAAGCTCAATCCACACAACAACTGTCAAGGCTGCACTCCCTCCAAAAGAGCAGGTACGTAGCTTGAGGATCCTTCTGGATCCACTGGTGTTGCTTGAGGCTCAGGTAGCCTCAGTAGTGGGGGATTGCCTTCCATCCTCTCAGACTGGTGGCCCAACTGTGCCCCTGTCTGATCAGGGACAGCCTAACTTCTGTTGACTACGCTCTGGTAGCCTCTTGGTGAGACTGCTGCCTTTGAAGATGGTTCGGAAACTGCGGAGTTGCCAGGGTTTCCCAAACTTGGGACTCCAGCTATTGGGGGACTACAATTCCCATCATCCCCGACCACTGGTCCTGCTACCTAGGGATGATGGGAGCTTAAGTCCGAAAACTGCTGGAGACCCAAGTTTGGGAAACCCAGGTGTAGACTGTAGCAGCCAGGTTCTGGCTAGGTAAGACGGTTTGAGTCTATTGTGCCAACCTTGGCCTGACTGCACTGGCTACCCGTTAGCTTCCTGTCACAGCGCCACAACTAGACCTGAAAGGCTTCTACCTCCTGGGAAGCTTTTTCCAGCCTCAGGGCAGGTTTATCGATCTACTAAGGCGCTGGGGATGGGAGGGTTTGAGGGCTACTCAACTTAGGCATTAGGTACCAATATGTTGGGGGACCCTTGCCGACAAAGGTCCGTGTAGTTAAAGCTATGGTTTTCCCAGTAGTGATGCATGGAAGTGAGAGCTGGACCATCAAGAAGGCTCATTGCCAAAGAATTGATGCTTTTGAATTCTGGTGCTGGAGGAGACTCTTGAGAGTCCCATGGACTGCAAGAAGATCAAACCTATCCATTCTTAAGGAAATCAGCCCTGAGTGCTCACTGGAAGGGCAGATCCTGAAGCTGAGGCTCCAATACTTTGGCCACCTCATGAGAAGAGAAGACTCCCTGGAAAAGACCCTGATGTTGGGAAAGATGGAGGGCACAAGGAGAAGGGGGCGACAGAGGACGAGATGGTTGGACAGTGTTCTGGAAGCTACCAGCATGAGTTTGACCAAACTGTGGGAGGCAGTGGAAGACTGTCATAGCTGTCAACTTTTCCCTTTTTTTGCGAGGAATCCTATTCGGAATAAGGGAATTTCCCTTTAAAAAAGGGGACACGTTGACAGCTATGACAGGAGTGCCTGGCTGCTCTGGTCCATGGGGTCAGGAAGAGTCGGACACGACTAAACAACTAAACAACAACAACAACAAATGTTGGGGGCCCTGGGCGTTTCCCCACCACCATGTACTAAAGCAGTGTTCCCCAACCTTGGGCCTCCAGCTGTTTTTGGACTACAACTCCCATCATCCCTCGCTAGCAAGACCAGTGGTCAAGGATGATGGGAATTGTAGTCCAAAAACAGCTGGAGGCCCAAGGTTGGGGAACACAGTACTAAAGAATCCTGAGAACAATCGAAAGCCTGTGCCTCCCCCGCAAGTCTGTTTTCAATCCCCACGTGCAACTGGAGAAACGTGCCTCGCTGTGTGAACGCGCAAGAGCAACACGCGTGCTGGGACCAAGGGGTCTGTGAAGACCACCGTGGGAGCCGGCTTCTCGGGACCGGGAGACGAGAGCGTCGGGGCCGCCGGCTCCCTCGGCTGCCCCTTCGGAGGTCGGCGGAGGCGGCGAAGGGCCCGGCTCCGTCCCGCCCCTTTCCTTCTCGGTCCCGGGCAGCCGCCTCCTTCGCGCTGGGCTGCCCTGGCAGCGGCTGCCCTCCCCTCGGGCGGACTTCCGAGCCGCGGGTCTCCCCACTGGGCCGGAGCGCCTTTGACTGGCGGGCCGGACACCAACCGCAGCCCGGGAACCTCCTTCGGCGCCGGCGACGGGGCGGGGATCCTCGCGGCCGCCGCGCTGGGGAGGTTCTCCGAGGAAAGTGCCACGACTTCAGCGCGCCCGCGGCAGGAGGGCCACGCGAAGGGAGCGCGGGAGAGCCAGCGGAGCGAGGTGAGCGCGGGGAGCGGGGAGCGCGCTCCGTCCGCCGGCGGCGCGGAGAGACAGCAGCCGTTTCCGCGGGCGGAGCAACGGGTCGGGCAGCCCGGCTGCAGAAGGCAGCGGGCAGCGGCGCCTGGACTCCCGCTTTGGAGCCCGTCGGACGGCTGGCGATCCGAGCTGTGGCTGGGGAAGGGGCCCCTCCTCCCGGTCGCCGCCCGCGCGGAGCCCCGCTCGGCCCCTCCAGGGATGCAGCGCAAGAACGGGAGACCTCGCGGGGCGCCGGTGGCTCCGCGGCCGCGGGGATGCGTCCCCCGACGGCACCGAGAGCAGAGCGTGAGAGGGCGTTGCTGGGAGCGCCCGAGCGGGCGTCGAGCAGGAGGCTCTGGCGTGGACGTGGATGAGCGTGGTCAGCTGGAAGGAAGGAGCGGGCGAAGCGGCGCCCTCGCTGCAACCGAGTCCCTCCGGACTCGGCTGCGAGGGCCGCCCCGACAGGCGCGGGGGTTCTCTTTCGCCCTCGGCCCGGCGGCCGGACCCTGGACCCCGGGCCGCCCCCCGACGGGCCCGAGTGGCGACGTGTCTCGCTCTCCGGCGGGGAGGAGGAGCCTGGCGCCGAGTCCGGCGGGCTCCTCCCGCTGCTGCCCTCTCCGCAGCGCCTGCAGCTGCCTCTCCGCAGCCGTCGGGGGGCTCCCAGCCGGGCCTTCCACCGCCCCAGCTGCCGCAGCCGGCCGCTTTCCCGCTGGCCGGAGTGTCCCGGCCCGGTGATCGCCCCTTCAGCCCTAACTTCGAGGGCTCTGGCGCTTCTCCTCCGCAGCGCAGGAGGGAGATCGCCGCCCGCTTGGTCGTCGGGGATAACCGTCTGTGGGGATGGAGACCCCACGCTGCGGTTCCCTTGCAGTCCTGCAAGAGGCTCCTCTACTAAACCAAAGCTGCTCTTGTGACCCACTGGTTGCTGGTTTTTGCGCACGCCATGCTGGCTCGTGTCCCTGGGTCAGAGGGCAGCGGCCTCGACGCCACGGCTGCAGATTTTCCTTTAGCCGCTCCCCTCCTGCTCCTCGCTGTCACCTCTCCACCGACTGGCCTGGGCTCTCTGCTTGCACTGTTGCAAGCCTTTGGCTGAAACGAACTGCCTCCCCACCACCACCACTTTTGCAGGGCAGCGCAGTGGCTGTTTCAGTGTGGCAGCAATGTTGCAGTGTTGCTGGCTGCTACCCTCGCGGGGTTGCACAGCATCCTATTTGTGGAAATGACTCCCTTTGGAGGCGGTGGACTCTTCTTCCTTGGATGTTTTTAAGCAGAAGTTGGGTGACCATCTGTCAGGGATGCTTTAGCTGGGATTCCTGCATTGCAGGGGGTTGGACTAGATGACCCCAGGGGTCCCTTCTAACTTTCAGATTCTACTATACTTCTATTAAAGCTGTTAAATGCTTTGCTGGCTAATTCAGGGACAAACTAACTTCCATATTGTGTTGTTAATGAAACGACTCTTGCTGAATGTTTATTTAAATTCCAGAGAAAGAGAGAGTTCCTTTAACCCCTGCTGGAGAAGCTATTTATCTTCCCTGTGCTGCTGCAAATTTTGATCCATGCTATAACTGTTGCCCAATATGTGTCTCACTCCTTCCACCAGTTGCTCTGCACTAACTGTTTTCCAGACAAAGCTCAAGGGAAGCTCCCACATTGAAAGCATTTCAGTCGTGCCTGAACTATTGTGGCCAAGCTATCCTGGTCCAGTAATGGCCAGCGCTGTTTTATCAGCTGAAACTGATTTAAAAATGCTCCTAACGACCAAAGCCACCTGGGTCTCCAGTAACAAAATTGAATCTATAAGCAGCCCTATACTTTGTACCTCCTCCTTCAGAGGGAGCGCAGTCCTGTCCAGATCATGCAATTCAGCAGTTTCTCGAATGTGATTGTTGCTTTAATTCTAATTATTCTTTTAGTAGGAGCTCCTCGTTGCTGTTGTTCAAAACTTCTAGTTATACAGTTGTACCTTGGTTTTCGAACAGCTTAGTTCTCGAACATTTTGGCTCCTGAATAGTTCTGGTTTGCAAACTATCTTAGGAAGCCAGATGTCTGATGGGGTTTCCACGGCTTCCAATTGGCTGCAGGAGCTGTATAGTGAGGAACGCCACAAGCTAGTCTTGAGTAGAATTCTGCTCTGAGTACACTCTGCCTAGGTCGCTTCTGAGACTGCCTCTAGGTCAGCTGTGCAAGCTGGCCATTCTGCTATGTAAACATGCATCTGCAAACATCCTTCTAGCTCAGCATTAACTTTCTGACTTTGTTTTGCAGGTTAAGACTACAGAGCAAGAATGGATTTTTATGACCCTCAGACCCTGGGCGTCATGGTCTTTGGAGGATTCATGCTGGTCTCAGCAGTTGGGATATTCCTGGTGTCCACCTTTTCCATGAAGGAGACGTCTTTCGAAGAAGCTTTGGCAAAGCAGCGCAAGGAGCTAGAGAAAGCCAGCCACCACAAGGTGGAGAAGAAGAAGAAAGAGAAGCCTGCTGAAAAGAAAGGAAGGGCGAAGAAAAAGGAGGAGAAACCCAATGGAGTGCTGGAGCCAGACGCAGGTCTGGACGCCTCTGATGGAAGCCCTGAACCAGTCTTTGAGGCACCCATTGTGTCTCTTCCAGCTCCTGAGGAAAAGCCAACCCTGTCTCCCAAAGACAAGAAGAAGAAGGAGAAGAAAGTGGGGAAGGTAGAGTCGGTTCCCAGCCTGGCAGCGTCTTCTCCACCAATAACTGCTTCAAAAGATCTGGTTTCTGATGTGGTTTCCAAGGAAGTGTCAGTAGCTGCTGCTCCACTAGCTGCGGCTCAACAGAATGCTCCCTTAACTAATTCCGTGAGTGTCAAAAAACCCCAAGATCTTAGAAACAGAGAGGAACAAAGGCACGACGGTGCTTCCAACAAGAAATCCACTGCCCCAAAGAAAAAAGAATCAAGTAAGTCAATTGCTGTAAATTACACATGTGTACTTACAGTATATATGTGTATTAATTATTTGATTAATATCTCACCCATTCCCAAAGGTTTAAGGTGGGTAAGCTACTCACAAAATCCAAGGCAATTAAACTCTTATCTTTCCTTCTCCCTATTTTTCCTGGCCACCCAAAGCCAACTTGAATGGAAACACTTTTCATAGTTTCCAGATGCTCACACTTTATCTTTTTTAAGTCTTTTGATGGCCGGAATAGTGCTAGGTATAAAATAATAGATGGTGATTATCTCCAAGGAAAATAAATTCCATAATTGAAGGCAGCTAATTATTGCAGCAGAACAAAATTTGCAAGAAAGGTGAAGGCGCTGTATACTTTTCTCGTGAAGAAGGCAGCACCCTCAAGGTAGAAAAATGTATCTGAGCTCTGAGTGTTGCATACCCAGAAATCATCCTGTAATGTGCTAGTTTATCTTACGCAAAAATATTGGTACTACACACTTTGAGTGAGTAAAAGTTGCTTTGAAAAGCTTTTCACTTCCTCAAGAAAAGAAAACATTTCATACGTCTTCGCCTTTAATACCCCCCAACTTATACTGAAAAAAATTGAGAAATGGGGTGGTGGTGGTATTTTTTATGGATTTTTCTGTCCACTCCTTCATAGACTTTATATGTTTGGCCAAGACATTTCCTCCCGTCCCCCCTTAGGAAATGGGTTGTCTCATTTCTGTGTTGATCTATTGAAAGGCATGGGTTGCTCCTCCATCTCGTAAGTACAGGTTACACTCACCTGGTTACTTTTGGCAGGAGACCAGCAGTTACAAAAGGTTTTTCATTTTCTTCCAAACCATACAACAGTGCCTGTGCGATAGGTAGCTTATTACATTTTTACTGGGTTTGTAACTTCAGCAAGTGGACTTGTTGCAAGGCTGGGGAAATGTAACTGTAAGCAGTAACTGTAAGCAGAAAAAGTAATTTCTCACATTTTTGGGGTAAAGGTAAAGGGACCCCTAACCATTAGGTCCAGTCGTGGCCGACTCTGCGGTTGCGGCGCTCATCTCGCTTTATTGGCCAAGGGAGCCAATGTACAGCTTCCGGGTCATGTGGTCAGCATGACTAAGCCGCTTCTGGCGAACCAGCACAGAAACGCTGTTTACCTTCCCGCCGGAGCGGTACCTATTTATCTACTTGCACTTTGACATGCTTTTGAACTGCTAGGTAGGCAGGAGCAGGGACTGAGCAATGGGAGCTCACCCTGTCACAGGGATTTGAACCATTGACCTTCTGATCAGCAAGCCCTAGGCTTTGTGGTTTAACCCACAGTGCCACCCGCGTCCCTAATTTTTTGGGTAGACTGTAATTTTTGTTGTTGCTGTTGTTGTTATTTTCTTTTAAATTCCCAGCTTACTTCTCTCCTCACACTTCTGTTTTTAGGTACCACAGATGTTGAAAATATGCTTTACGTCCCCTATAAGACCTTATGTTCCATAATTTGCAGCATGGTTTTTGGGGAAGGCGAGGCCCAGCAACTGATTGAAATCTTGACTGAGAAAGCAGGAGGCGCTCAGCACCCATGGCTGATGGTATGGACATCTCTTGATCATCAAGGGTCTGCTGTGGATAAACCTCATGATGCTTCTGAATCCCAGTTGCTGGAAACATCAGGAGGGGAGAGGGCTCTTGTGTTCAGTTCCTGCTTGCAGGCTTCCCACAGGCATCTAGGCTGGACTAGATGGGCCATTGGTCTGGACCAGCAGGCTGCTCTTATTTTCTTACGTTCATCTTGAGGACATTGACTCTACTCCACAGACTAAGGAAGAGCCAGACCATTTGGTTATTTCTTCTACAGCTGAGAAAGCAGCAGGTCTCAGTTAGGGTGTCCTTCCCCATTGAAATGGCCATGACAGTAGGCTCATATCAAGGGGGATGTAACTCAGAGCCTCTGACTTGGTTCAGTTTATTTTATAAACCAATGGATCTCTGGTTCATGAAACCACCCATATATATACATACATACACACACACACACACACACACACACACACACACACACATATATATGGTTCATCAGTCCCAAATAAAATTAAAGTTGCATAATATAAAATATATGTTACTTAGAATTGAGGTGTTTTTTTTTTTTAAAAAGCAGTTATAGATTGTCTATGTGAAATTTCTATACAGTGGTGCCTCGCAAGACGAAAATAATCCGTTCCGCGAGTCTCTTCGTCTAGCGGTTTTTTCGTCTTGCGAAGCAACCCTATTAGCGGATTAGCGCTATTAGCGGTTTAGCGGATTAGTGCTATTAAAGGCTTAGCGGCTAAAAGGCTATTAGCGGCTTAGCGGCTTAGAAAAGGGGGGGGGAGCGAAAAAAATCGCAAGACTCGCAAGATGTTTCCGTCTTGCAAAGCAAGCCCATAGGGAAAATTGTCTTGCGAAGCGCATCGAAAAACGGAAAACCCTTTCGTCTAGCGGGTTTTTCGTCTTGCGAGGCACCACTGTATTTAGATATTTTGCAACTTTTTCTGTGATTTTAAAAAAAATTAGAGCTTGAGGCAAAGGTCTCTGGTAGGTTAATGAAGGGCTGGGCATGCTAACAAATGTGTTACAGCATAAGCTTTTGTGAAGTGTCGACCGTAACGGAAGCGGGAGGCTAGGAGAGCCTGCTTATGCCCTTCCTTACACAACAACCTTGCAAGTAGGCCAGTCACATCTTAGAACTATTCAGTAATCACTGTGACTACCATCTGTCAACACTTATTGAGTGTTGCAAAGTGCAGAGAGGAGGGGATTCTGGGGCGCTCATGGAAGTACTAAAAACTGGGACCCCAAGATAGCATTCGGTTTCCTTGATCTTTCCTGGGGTTCAAGAAAGTTGCTTTTCTCTGCTAAAATGCCCCTCAGTTCACGAGGGACAACAGAGCAAGCATCTGACTGCTTTCTTCACCATAGGGTTCAGTGAAACTTGCTCTTTCACCCCAGTAGCGTCTACACAGAATCCTAGAGTTTGACATAAACTCATTTCAGACCTCAGCAGCCAAATTATATGAAGTTTTATGAAGAATGCAAAAGAAGAGCAGAGGAGAAAAGAGCAAAAGCAGGCTATTGGAAATAAAGAGAGCTTTTTAGCTGAGATCTACCTTTCCCTGACCTGGTTACAAAGAGGCTTGTGGTCTCCTCATGTGCAACACAGTGTAGGCTTTCACTTGCAGAGTTTTCTGATGGCACCTGGAATCAAAGGTGAGGGAGATGGACCCTGGTGGGGCCGCCCATTTTTATTGGCTCTCCCACCCACGTTGGACTCAGTGATAGTTGGCATTTTTTAGCCAATCAGAGCACAGGTCAGGTAACTTGTGTGAAACTTGCCAGGAGTTGGGACAATGGTAGTTGCTTCCAGGGCGCAGGAAAGGATGATTATCGCTGGTGGAAATTGCCACTGGATTTCTCCATCTTTCTACCAGACAGAACCTGTTCTGGTTTTGTGGATTCAGGAGTTGGCTGGAGCACGGGCTTGCCTTGATCAAGCAAAATGGAGGGAGAGAAAGCAGTGGCGTAGCATGGGTGTGCAGGGGGGGCTGGCCGCACCGGGCGCAACATCTGGGGGGGCACGCTCGCACTCGCAGCTCTCTGCCCCTATGTGGCTCACTCACTCTCTCTCACTGCAGTGCTGGCTGTGCGAATCCGATCCGAGCCGCCGGGTCGCCGCCCACTGGGGGGGGTGTGCCAGGCGTGCGGGTTAGGAGGCGCAAATTACTTGCCTTGCCCCGGGTGCTGACAACCCACGCTACGCCACTGAGAGAAAGCATGGATTTTCTACGCATCTACTTTTTCTGATGAATAACAAGGAAAAGAAAAAATGGCACTGATTGCCATTATGATACCAAGCCATGGCACTAAGCACTCACTTTTTGGTCTGATAGCTGGCTGGCATACAAGAGAATACTGTGGTAGTTCTGAAGCACTTAATTCAGCATTGAATTGATTCTTGTTGCAGGCAACTCAGAAAGGCGATCCCGTTGCCGTTCTGAAACGACAGCTAGAGGACAGAGAGAAGCAACTTGCAACGGAACAAGAAAATGTAACTGTCGCAAAAGCTAAACTGAGAGAACTCTCCAAGGTAGGTTCTTACACTGGCTTCAGAAATGGCGCTTCAGATATTCAGAATCTACATTTTGGGCCCCATTGTCCGGATAAAAGCTCCTTATATCATCGTGGCGCTTCACTGTTTGCTGTAAATTGCATAGTTTCAACAACAACATCCGCCCACTTTAGGATGGATTTGCAAATTTACATATCACATCTTGGCAAAGGTTTTCTGCACCCATGGGAGTACGGGTTCCTGCTTCAGTCCATACAAGGGGTGCTTACTGGGTGACCTGGTACAACTTACAAAGAAATGTATTGCAGAATATAATCAATCATTTTCTCTTTCTGAAGAGCTGTGGTCTGATATTCTTTTTAGCATATTTAGAATAGTCCCAGGGCTCAAGTGAATATTATGAATACCATTTGAAAATGCTCAAAATTAGACTGAAAAGTTTGTCATTCATAATAATAATAATAATAATAATTATTTATTTATACCCCGCCCATCTGGCTGAGTTTCCCCAGCCACTCTGGGCGGCTCCCAGTCAAGTATTAAAAACAATACAGCGTTAAATATTAAAAACTTCCCTGAATAGGGCTGCCTTCAGATGTCTTTTAAAGATAGGATAGCTACTTATTTCCTTCACATCTGAAGGGAGGGTGTTCCACAGGGTGGACGCCACTACCGAGAAGGCCCTCTGCCTGGTTCCCTGTAACCTCACTTCTCGCAATGAGGGAACCGCCAGAAGGCCCTCAGAGCTGGATCTCAGTGTCCGGGCTGAATGATGGGGGTGGAGATGCTCCTTCAGGTATACTGGGCCGAGGCCGTTTAGGGCTTTAAAGGTCAGCACCAACACTTTGAATTGTGCTCGGAAACGTAGTCAGTGCCTTTTCTGACAGAGTGTTATCAAAGATTACATTGCTTATATCGAAGAAGACACTTTCCACCACAGGGGCTTTACCTGACACCATCAACCCTTTCTAAGTGACCCTCCAATAACACCTTTTTGCAGACCAGGCCTTTAGAAACTAAAGTGATTAGTAGGAGTCATCTTGTGTTGTTTCAATCTAATCTGTGAAACTACCCATACTTTTGAGGTGAATGTGTAACTTCATTCCAGGTCAGTCCTATAACTAGGAGGCCTCAACACTTTTTAGTGGTTATAGCATCAGGTAGCTACAAAGTGCAAATGAACCCACTTAAAGTTCATGGTGTGAGCTGTGTTCTCTGCTACGAGGGGTGGAGAATCTCAGGCTGGGGACCGAAGATGGCTCTGTCCGACCCTTGGGTCTCTTCCACAAACCCCACCTCTCACTGCAGCAGGGCACATGAGGTGGTGGTCTCACAGCAGAGGCTCCAGACAACTGGAAGGGTTGGCGCTGCCACCACATGCCCGCTGCTGCACCCGCCTGTCATAAAGAAACAGTGACTATGATGTGTGAGTTTGTATAGTTTGTGTGCCATATCCTAGGAAATCATGGGAGCATAATTCAGAATGGCATGCTGCTGGCATCCAAAAGCAAATGGGTTATTAATGCAGGTTTAAATCTGTGTTTTGGTTAAACTGAGGCCTACTGTAGTACTGAGTAATCCCAAGAATCAGCACTGTCTTGAGTTTGTCCTACACTGTATGTTCAAGACCTTGACTCCACATTTTATGCATGTTGTTTAGTCGTTTAGTCGTGTCCGACTCTTCGTGACCCCATGGACCAGAGCACACCAGGCACTCCTGTCTTCCACTGCCTCCCGCGGTTTGGTCAAACTCATGTTGGTAGCTTTGAGAACACTATCCAACCATCTCGTCCTCTGTCGTCCCCTTCTCCTTGTGCCCTCCATCTTTCCCAACATCAGGGTCTTTTCCAGGGAGTCTTCTCTTCTCATGAGGTGGCCAAAGTATTGGAGCCCTAGCTTCAGGATCTGTCCTTCCAGTGAGCACTCAGGGCTGATTTCCTTCAGAATGGAGAGGTTTGATCTTCTTGCAATCCATGGGACTCTCAAGAGTCTCCTCTAGCACCATAATTCAAAAGCATCAATTCTTCGGCGATCAGCCTTCTTTATGGTCCAGCTCTCACTTCCATACATCACTACTGGGAAAACCATAGCTTTAACTATACGGACCTTTGTTGGCAAGGTGACGTCTCTACTTTTTAAGATGCTGCCTAGGTTTGTCATTGCTTTTCTCCCAAGAAGCAGGCGTCTTTTAATTTTGTGACTGCTGTCACCACCTGCAGTGATCATGGAGCCCAAGAAAGTAAAATCTCTCACTGCCTCCATTTCTTCCCCTGAAGCTCAACATCAAAAAAGCGAAGATCATGGCCACTGGTCCCATCAACTCCTGGCAAATAGAAGGGGAAGAAATTTTATGCATACCTCATTATAAATGTCTTCTCTTGAAGGAACTCACAGCTGAGAAGGCAAAAGCCTTAAGTGTTGAGAATAAGCTGAAGGAGCAACTGAAGACACGTGAGCAGGAGGTGACTGCTCTACAAGCCCGGATGCAGGCCAGTTACCAGGATCGTGAGACTGAGACCCAACAGTTGCAAGGAAAGGTGGGATAAGCGACTTAATATTATTCAACACGGGTTTATTTGTTGTCAAGGATCCCTTTATAATTCTTTTTCTAGTGGAAGAATGTGAAGAGCAATATTAGAGCTTTGTCCTGTTTGGATCTTCTTCATCCAAAGCACAAATAAACAACTGGCTGTGTGACGAAGCATTCATAGCTCCTTTCTCACACACTAGATTTGGCCCCTATCTCTTTGGCTCAAATATATTCAGTCTACACCAAGGGTAGGGAAGCTTTTCAGATGGGAGGCCGCATTACCATGGTGGAAAACTGTCCATGATTGCATTCCGCGATTCGGCAGGGGCAAAGCGCACTCACAAAATCCCCACCCCAAAGCTGTTTCCCATGGAAACTGAGGCATATAGTTAATTCTTAAAAGTTTCACTTTCCGGTTTCTCCGTAGACTTTTAAAAACAAAATTGGTTTAAAAAGTTCTCCTTTAATCTATTTTGATAGTGCAAAGGGTGAAAAGAACTCTGTAATGCTATCAGAGAATTGCAAATAACCAATACCCATCAGAATTGCAAAACCTGCCTTAAAGGTAAAGGTAAAGGGACCCCTGACCATTAGGTCCAGTCTTGAACGACTCTGGGGTTGCAGCGCTCATCTCACTTTACTGGTTGAGGGAGCTGGCGTACAGCTTCTGGTTCATGTGGCCAGCATGACTATGCCGCTTCTGGCGAACCAGAGCAGTGCACGGAAACGCCGTTTACCTTCCCGCCGGAGTGGTACCCATTTATCTACTTGCACTTTGACGTGCTTTCGAACTGCTAGGTGGGCAGGAGCAGGGACTGAGCAACGGGAGCTCACCCCGTCGCGGGGATTCTAAACGCTGACCTTCTGATCGGCAAGTCCTAGGCTCTGTGGTTTAGAGCACAGCGCCACCCGCGTTCCTAAACCCTGCCTTAGAGCTATTCAAAGCCTCATGCTTCAGAATGCAATGGCATATAAAAATTGCATGTATTTGCAACAGAAACCAAGTATTCTTCTCTGCGGAGACATGTTCCCTTTGTGTGGCAGAGGAAGGAGCTACGATTGCACACTTGGAACAGCACCAAAGCCCTTTTCCTTCTCAGCTACTCCCTGCTGGCTGGGAGGGGACTCAGAGGGCTGCATTAGGCTGTGAAGACATCTGGCGCATGAGCTGGGGTTCTAGTCTACATCCTGGTTGACATGCCGGTTGACTCTCAGTTAAAAAACAAAAGAGAATAAACAGTGTAGAGTCAAAAGAGAGGCCTAGAATCTTCATGGTCAATGAACCCTGAGCTGCTGCATCTAGATGTGAATGATAGCAGGGAGCTGTTCTGATGTTGTTCTTCTTCATTGATTTCCAGATTCGAACTCTACAAGAACAACTGGAGAACGGCCCTAACACCCAACTTGCTCGCTTGCAGCAAGAAAATTCCATTCTCAGAGATGCTTTAAACCAGGCCACAAGCCAGACCGAGAGCAAGTAAGATGAACAGTATTTTAGTTAATGTGAAAATGTAATGTAAGAGGGAAGAATTTTATAGTAGTGGGCTGTGCAGACAATAGGTGTGGCTTCAGTGTGAAGTATTTGAGTTAGTTGGGTGCTAACACTGAAGAATTTTTTTATTGTGTGACTTCTGTTCTGAGAATATCCACTTAGTAGGCAACATCCAGAACAGTCAATCGTGGTCATGACAGACAATTTCCCCCCCAACCCACTCCAAAAAGGTAGGGATTGTTCTCTTTTTCCAGTCTTTTGCTATCACTGATTTTGCAGCAGCGATCAATTTAGTTGTCACCTCCAGATCATTTTTTAAGATGACCGTTTTAAAATAACCAAATATAATAATCTTGGGCATGAAAGGTATATAGCATATCCCAAATAACCACAGATATTGAATTCCATAATTGCATTTGAGGGCATTTCTTCCAAATATGCATAAAATCTGTTTTAAATAACTGCGTCTCCAACAGTTATCATGCCCTAATCTGTATATAGTATTAAATTTAATTTACGTGGAGTATCATTCTCAAATAATATTATAATAGTTCTCCTTCAAATCAGCAGATAACAATTTAGGTGGAACATTTGCCCGTAACCATTTCCATTATTTCATGTTCCTGTCCCTTATATATGCTGGTGGCAAGAGAAAAAAATAGTGGCCTATATTGCTAGGAAAATATGGATGGTGAGGAAACAAGATGCTGATACATTTCCATTTTTCAAATGTTGCATATAGGCAGATTTTAAAGGTAAAGGTAAAGGTACCCCTGCCCGTACGGGCCAGTCTTGACAGACTCTAGGGTTGTGCGCCCATCTCACTCAAGAGGCCGGGGGCCAGCGCTGTCCGGAGACACTTCCGGGTCACGTGGCCAGCGTGACATCGCTGCTCTGGCGAGCCAGAGCCGCACACGGAAACGCCGTTTACCTTCCCGCTAGTAAGCGGTCCCTATTTATCTACTTGCACCCGGGAGTGCTTCTGAACTGCTAGGTTGGCAGGCGCTGGGACCGAGCAACGGGAGCGCACCCCGCTGCGGGGATTCGAACCGCCGACCTTTACAGATTTTACAAATAAGGCAGATTTTACAGTTCTTTAAAATCGGAATTGTTTTGAAGCAAGCTTGATCCACACCTTACTGTTTCAACTTTTGCAATTCAGACAAAATGCTGAACTGGCCAAACTGCGTCAGGAGTGTAGCAGACTAGGCAAAGAGTTGACTGAAAAGTTGGGTGCATTACAACAGGTGGAAGAACAGAAAAAGGTCTTGGAGACAAAGGTTGCTGCCTCTGAAGAGCAAATCCGTCAGCTCCAGGTCAGTAACAGACAGGTACCAATAATTCTGTGCTTAACGGTGAAAAGACTGCTAGAAGTTGAAAGATTTGGGTTCTGTTCCTAGTCATGGCAGATTTGCGTCCCACTGTAAAGGCCCTTCAGATATCCATGGGGCAGGAAATCAATAGGGTGGCCCCTGCCCCCTGCTGTGTATGTTACCATTCAATTCACATGGTTGCAGGGCTATTATTCATCTGTGCACCCTGATGTTGTATGGACTTGTCATATGCAGCTGTTTTGCCAATGCACAGTCTGTAATTAAGGAAAATGTGTTACTCAACAGATAATCATTTGGGTTCAAATGGTCTGTTTCATAGACAAAGCCTTTTCCCCACATTGGAGGAATGAAAGAGTGAGTGAGTGAGTTGGTTAGTTAGTATACCATCATTCATCCGTAGATCTCAAGGTGTTTCACAACAGAAAAATCACAAAATGCATAGGAATTACATTCTGTAGGAAATAGGTATCCATTTATACATAATACTTCATATTCATCTTAAGACTGATATGAAACTGTCTCCTATCTATATCAGGTGCATCTGGGGCCATTATAAAGGGTCTCATAAGATCTGACCCTTTTGGCACAGCATCTAAGGCAGGCATAGGCAAACTCTGGCCCTCTAGATGTTTGGGACTACAATTCCCATCATCCCTGACCACTGGTCTTGTTAGCTAGGGATGATGGGAATTGTAGTCCCAAACATCTGGAGGGCCGGAGTTGGCCTATGCCTGATCTAGGGCACCTTTCCATTCAGGAAATCAGTGGATGGGGTCTTTCATTGCTTTTTCAGCAGATCTGTTTAGGGTTCTGGAAGCAGGGCACATTGGGGGATAAGAAGACTGTTGTATCCCTCCAGTCCCGGAATTTGTCATACTTTGTGTCAGCTCTGTGGTCAGTGGGCAACAAACAGAAAGCATGATGGGCTTTAGAGACAAGTGGACAGGGGCGATCTGGCCAGGAACTGCTGTTCACTGTTCTGCCGTTACAACAACCCCATGCCTGCACGTCTCAGGGTGATAAAATGGAATAAGCTCATGAACAACTCTAAGGAAACTGCGTTGGACGCAGATTCATTTATTTATACCTGCTTTCCTGAATGTACCTACACTGGAAAGCTGCAGCAATTGTTGCTTTCTGGTACTCGTGACAAATAAATATGTGTGCTTCACGTGTGACAAAGTTCCTGAATAGCAGTGATATCCATGTCGTCATCTGTGAAGCTGTCTCCATGACTGTATGCATGCTTGAATGAATGAATCTTTAGTTCCGTCATCCATTGACCATAGCAATACGACGACAATACGATATACAAAGCATAGAATTAAAAAGTCAATTATAGAAAATACATTTTAGGGTTTTGAATCAATAGTCAAACAGTGGATGTTATTCTAATTGCCCCAGCTAAAAACCTGGCAACCTTTGCTGTCACCTGCTCATCTTGATCTGTATGCATGCTTTGGGAAGTACAGGACAGGAATTGTCATGGCAATAATCAGGGCTATCCCAGGATGTTTTGCCACCAAAGGCAAAACAGAAAACACCCTTGCCTCCTCCTCTGGCAGCGGGTGGTGGGCTTTGGTTGTGCAGTGGATGAGGAGGCAGTCAACAGGTGTACTCCATGGAGGCTGGATCTGCTGCCCCGAGGCAACTGCCTCACTGTACATCATAGGCACAGTGCCTGGTACGACATGCTAGAAGCCACGTGGCTTTCAAAAAGTCACCCTGTGCTTTTGTCTCCTGTCTTAATTTTTGTCCCACCTCCTTCATGCAGATATCCCAAAAAGAAAAGGAGGCGCCACTGCAGAAAAGCTTGGAAGAGATGGGCGAAGAACTCTCCAAATCCCAAGCCAGCTATCAGAGCTTGCAGAAAGAGCTGGCAAAGGCAAAAGAGCAGCAGTCCAGTCTTGCTGGTGAGATCGCATTGCAGGGAGGATATCACAAAATCCTCCGTCTGGCACACAAACCTCTAAAATAAGCCCCCCCCCCATAATGACCCCCAACTATTAGCTAGTAGTCATACCTCGGGTTACAGACGCTTCAGGTTGCGCGTTTTCGGGATACGGACGCGCCAAAACCCGGAAGTACCGGAATGGGTTACTTCTGGGTCTTGATGCTCGCGCATGCGCAGAAGCGCCGAATCACAACCCACGCGTGCGCAGGGTTGCGGACGTGCCTCCAGCACGGATCACATTCGCAACCCGAGCATCCACTATAGTAAATCTGTTTGGGGTCATGGTGCTTCTGTGAATGATGGTTGCCCAGTTCCAGGCTCTGATACGTAATCCTGATTTTTAACATCCATTTCAGTTGACTTCTAGCTTGAATTTGGACAAAAACAGCTTGGCACCATACTCTGGTGGCTCCAGCTCTATCTAGCAAGCAGATTCCAGATGTTGGTGCTAAGGACTGTTCCTTGGCTTTGTGACATTTATGCTATACAGTTCTTACAAAAAACAACAATAACAACTTTTCCTCCATCATGTTCAACATCTACAGGTAGGTGGGTAATCTGTGGCCCTCCAGATGTTGTTGGGTTGCGACTCTCCTCCTCCCTGATTCTTGGCCGCTCTGCCCGGGGGTGATGGGAGTTGCAATCCACCAAAATCTGCACCTTGAATAGAAGATGAGATGCCTGGACATGGTTCAGAAAAGGGGAACCAAAATGATCTAGGGACTGAAACAACTCCCCAGTAAGTAAAGGTTGGGAGCTTTTCAGTTTTGAAAAAGAAAAATCACATAAGGGAGAGACATGATTGTTGTTGTTGTTTAGTCGTTTAGTTGTGTCCAACTCTTCATGACCCCTGGACCAGAGCACGCCAGGCACTCCTGTCTTCCACTGCCTCCTGCAGTTTGGTCAAACTCATGCTGGTAGCTTCGAGAACACTGTCCAACCATCTCATCCTCTGTCGTCCCCTTCTCCTTGTGCCCTCCATCTTTCCCAACATCAGGGTCTTTTCCAGGGAGTCTTCTCTTCTCATGAGGTGGCCAAAGTATTGGAGCCTCAGCTTCAGGATCTGTCCTTCCAGGGAGCACTCAGGGCTGATTTCCTTCAGAATGGAGAGGTTTGATCTTCTTGCAGTCCATGGGACTCCCAAGAGTCTCCTCCAGCACCAAGAGAGACATGATACCTGCATATAATATTATTAGAGAGAGTGGATCGAGAACAGTTCTCTCTCTTTCTCTCATAACACCTGGGACCACCAAATGAGGCTGAATATTGGGAGATTCAGGGCAAGAAAAAAGAAATGACTTCTTCACACAGCACATAGTTAAAACTGTGGAATTTGCATCAACACAGCACAATGATGCTTCCCTGCCCCCCAAACCTGGACAGCTTTAAAAGGGGATTATTCATGGAGCATGAGGCTATTAAGGACTACTAGTCTTGATGGCTGTATACCACCTCTGGTATCAGAGGCAGTAACCCTCTGATCATCAGCTGAGAGGGATGCTGTTGTGCTTATGGGCTTCCTATAGCCATCTAGTTAGCCACTGAAGAAAAGGATAATTATTAGATTGGCCTTGGCTGTCATCCAGCAGGCTTCTTTTAATGTTTTGTCACAGTTAAATAAATGTGGCTGCCGGTGCCACCATCTCATCTAATTTGGCCCGAATTCTGAAAGAAAATGAACTAGGGCAGGCACCCCCAAACTCAGCCCTCCAGATGTTTTGGGACTACAATACCCATCATCCCTGACCACTGGCCCTTTTAGCTAGGGATGATGGGAGCTGTAGTCCCAAAACATCTGGAGGGCTGAGTTTGGGGATGCCTGGACTTGGGACTTCCAGAGGCAAAGCCAAGAATGTATATGGAATACTGAAATTGCACCCGCCTTTATTGCCAGTGCTGCTTATATGAGCAGGGCTTATTTTTATCTTTTATTTATTCCACCAAGCTGGATGCGCAGCACACTGTTCTACACTTCAGAAAAGCTTTGTTTCCAAACTGTTAATGATTTTTGTATGGTGTAATGAGATGTCTGGATCAACCTAGTTCTATCCCATGCTGGTTTCCCTCTTGTCCTGTTTGTGGGTGGAATTTTTAAGGGGACTCTTCTAAGAAATCTGTCAAGCTTTTTATTCTGTCTCTCTCTCACACACACTTATTACACACCCTTTACGTGGTCGTCCCAAGGCTGTCTCTTTCTGTAACATTTTACAGCTGCTCAAAGCAGCTAATACCTCCTCCACACAGTAAGTAAATAAATAATCTGCACATCCAGTTTGGTGGAATACATGGAGGGCAGTAATCTTTTCCTATTCAATGTCCTTGTAAGACCACTAGGAATGTTGGAACAGGGTGCAGGGAGGCTATCTCCATAAATACATGAGGGCATCCATCTGTTTCTTTGTACAATTTCCCAAGAGTGACTGCATTTTATGACACATTCAAGGAGGGTTTTTTTGTTTTTGTTTTACTGTGTGCCCATTATTTATTAACGTAAAGGGACCCCTGACTGTTAAGTCCAGTCATGGACGACTCTGGGGTTGCGGCGCTCATCTCGCTTTACTGGCCGAGGGAGCCGACGTTTGTCTGCAGACAGTTTTTCCGGGTCATGTGGCCAGCATGACTAAGCCGCTTCTGGCGAACCAGAGCAGTGGACAGAAACACCGTTTACCTTCCCGCCAGAGCGGTACCTATTTATCTACTTGCACTTTGATGTGCTTTCGAACTGCTAGGTTGGCAGGAGCTGGGAACGAGCAACGGGAGCTCACCCCGTCACAGGGATTTGAACTGCCGACCTTCTGATCAGCAAGCCCTAGGCTCTGTGGTTTATTATTTATATAATAAACTATATAAGTTTGTTAAACTAATAAGTTGCTTATTTACCAAGATGGCTTCTAAGCAGTTTACAAGTATATTAGCTGCTCTGAGCAGTGGCTGCCCTGGGACTACCGTGTAAGCCACAGACCCATTGCTTAATTCGCACATCTGTGTTCTGATCTGTGCTTGGGCCTGAGGAGGATGTCCTGGGTAGATTGACTCCAAAAGATGCATCCTTGTGATGTAAGCAAGAGGTATGATGGGTGCAGCTTAAATTGCATGTTTATGACCACGAGTGTTTTATCCACCTTTAACAGAACTTCAGTCTAAGCTGCTGCACTCTGAAATGATGGTGAAGACAAAGGCAGAAGAACTAAACAGTTTACAGATTAAGTTGTCAGAAGCCACTTCCAAGAATGCAGAGCTTGCAGAGAGGATTCAATCGGCCGAAGCCCTCCTAGAGGCAGGACAAATGAGAGAAGCGGAGAAAAACAAAGATGTTCAGGTCAGAGTCTTGCAATGTCCTTCCCTGCTAGCTTCTGCTTCTGATAACTTTGCTTCTTTTTCTGGGGTTCCCCCTCTTTATGGCACACTACTAAAGCAGCATGGCATTATTACTTACAGTGCCGCTTCCTATGGTTTTAGATACAAGGACTGCTTTGAAGACAGTAATGTAATTTCATTTCCTTCTCCCCCTGTATATTCAGGAAGCAAACCAAACAGAAGCCAGCCAAGTGCAGTTAAGGTAAGGCTGGAGAATACTGTGTTTTTGACACTGATCATTAAATAGTTGGTCTGTGATCATTTAGAAAAGAACACCGTGATTAAAAAATAGCATGCAAGACTATTATATATTTTATTTATAGACAGTGCTTTTTTTCTAAAAAAAATGTTTAGGGGTACTCTCATTTTCCTACTCATATTGAAATACTGCCCCTCAATGAGGCCAAACTTAGATTCACAAAATGTTTAGGGGTATACATACCCCTGCGTCCCCCCAGAAAAAAGCACTGTTTATAGAGCTACAAGTGTGGCAGATAAGGAGGATTTTGTCCCTGTAATATACCGTATTTTTCGCTCTATAAGATGCACCAGACCACAAGACGCACCTAGTTTTTGGAGGACGAAAACAAGAAAAAAAATATTCTGAATCTCAGAAGCCAGAACAGCAAGAGGGATCGCTGCGCAGTGAAAGCAGCAATCCCTCTTGCTGTTCTGGCTTCTGGGATAGCTGCGCAGCCTGCATTCGCTCCATAAGACGCACACACATTTCCCCTTACTTTTTAGGAGGGAAAAAGTGAGTCTTATAGAGCAAAAAATACGGCATCTTTATTTCAGCAAGGATTTCAACAAGCTCCCTCACAATGTTCTTGTTGACAGGCTTGGAAAATGTGGGCTAATAAGTGATGTTACTTCTGGGTGGATTTGTAAGTGGTTGATGTACTATATCCAAATAATGCTAATTAATGTCTCCTCATCACCCTGCACAGGTGTGATAAGTAGAGTGCTGCAGTGATCTGTCCTGAGTGCAGTGTTGCTCAACATCTTAAAACACACACACACACACACACACACACACACAATTGCATGAAGGGAATGCTCATCAGATTTGCAGTTGACACCAATCTAGGAGGAGGAGATAATACCTTAGACACAAACAGGATTAGAAATGTACTTGACAGGATGAAGAACGGAGATGAGAGCAGAATGTTACATTTAGGTATGAAAAATCAGATGCAAAAATGGGATGTGTGGGATGCCTGGCTTGACAGCAGTGTTAGTTCAAGGGAACTATAAAAAACTATAAAAGTATAAAAAGGAGAATTTCCTGGATGCCAAGATCCAGGTTTGGGGTGTGTACTCTTTGGTAAGAGAACCCCAGCAGAGATTTAAAATCTCAAAATATGCAGCAAAGTAAAGCATGGAAATATAGGCTGTTGGTCCTTCAAAATATGTCCTTGTGAGTTTCAAAACTTCCCTCTTCCCGCAGCATAGGAAAAGACCACTTATCTGGCAAGTTAAAAATTTGTTTACTTACAAATTCTTCAGTGGTTCATGGACTTTTCCATACAAGCACCCAGAAAAAAGTTGCCCAGGCAGTAAAACTTGGCTTAATTTTAGTGGCGAAAGTCCCTAAATTATTGGTACAGTGGTACCTCTGGATGCGAACGGGATCCGTTCTGGAGCCCTGTTCGCATCCTGAAGTGAACGCAACCCGCGTCCGTGGATCACGATTCGCCGCTTCCGCACATGCACGTGACGTCATTTTGAGCGGTCCTCTGGTTGCGAATTCCTCGGGATTCAGCCGGACCTCCAGAACAGATCCCGTTCGCAACCGGAGGTACCACTGTATCTTCAAAATAATAAATAATTGTATGTGTGTAAAACTGTATATTGTGGAATATTACAGATAATTAATTTGCAAATCTTTTTTCTGCTTTAGATTCCAAGGCTCATCCACACAGGTCACCACATTAGAGAATGAAGTTGCTGAACTGAAAAATACAGTTGAACAGCTGAAAATAAAAAACAATGTGAGTTAAGCCGACTGCATTATTTCCCTAATATAATGAGGACTTTGGGCTGGTTTTATGAGAGCTGTCCTCCATTTTGGGCACCTGCAGATTTGTATATATGAAGATTGCTTATCTAATGAAAGCCAGGAAATAATTAGAAAGAATTAAGAAGGGAGCCTAGTGAAGGTATCTTAGCCTTCAAAGCAAGTTTGAGATAGGAAATTGAAAGAATACACTTAACCTGAAAGGCACTGCAGGGTTCCAATTGGTGCATGTTGGTATGTTTTTTTAAAAGAGCCAACTGTATCAAATACATGAAATGGATTGACAAGGAGCTGGAGGCAGGGGTGTGGGAGGGTGTCCGTCTTTCTGTCCGTCCATGTGCAGATGTATTTTTCCATGCATCTGCAGGCACAAATATGGAACTGGCGTAAATTTGTAGTTAGAATATTTTAACAAGGCAACAGCTTAAAAATAAAGAAACACAGAAGAAACCATTTGGGAGATAAGCAAGTAAAGGAGAATATATGTAAAAGACGATCAAGAAGAAAAGTAGTTCTCAAGAGAAAGAGGTATTTGATTTAAGTTGCAGCAACATAAATCACATTAAAGATTCCAGCAGTTTTGAAAACAAACTTGAGTTTCCTAATGGGGATGGTTGAATTGCTGTCCGTAAAGTTTTGTGCCAGCCTTCCTACAAATAAGTAGTTTGTTTTTGGTGTTTGTTTCCAACAGGAGCTGCAAGAGAAGAATTTAGAAGCCACGGAAGCCCTGGCTTCTGTGGAAAAGGCATGCGAAGAAAAGCTGCTGTCTTCAACTAAGGCAAAGGTTAGCTTTCCTGTAAACCAGGGGTCAGCAAACTTACCGTGCCTTGGGCCGGTGTCTCCAGCGCTGATTGCGTGACGAGCTGGAGGGTGGGGGAGCGTGTGCCCATACGCGTGCCCATACATGTGCTCACACGCTATTTGTGGTGCACTTCCAGGTCAGAGGAGCACCAGAAATAGCTTGTGTGCATGTGCACGGGCCTCCTCAAACCCGGATGTGCACTGGAAATAACGCTTGTGCATGCGCAAATAATGCTTGCACATGTGCACAAGCTATTTCTGATGCTCCTCCGACCCAGAAGTGGGCGGCGGGGGTTGCCGCGGGCCAGATAAATGAGTCCCTCGCGCCTTATCCGGCCCGCGGGCCTTAGTTTGGGGACTCTTGCTGTAAACTCTGCAGTATTTTGTACCATACAGTGACATCATATATGAGCCACACAGCTTCACCAGGACTGGACTAGATATGGCAGGCTCTGGTGCAGGAGGAGGAAGAGGAAGGAACCAGGAAAAGAGTGGGAACCTGAGTTGCAGGAGAGGAGGTCTCCCCTTCCCACCTTTATGTCTGTTCTTTGGGAAAGGGCCCAGGGTTGCTGGCTCTTCCCTAAGACTTTCCCGTGAAACGCCTCATTAAAGACTAGGGAAGGCTTTGATCAGCCAGTGGTGGAATTTGAGCAGATGACCACAACTGAACAAGAGCCCAAACAGGAGGGTGCAGTCTTGCCCCCTAAAACTGGACACCCGTTTGTGAATGGAAGCAGACTCCCCAGTCTTCGAGGAGCACACATTTTCAATCTTGACATTACCACAAGTCTTGTGAGCGTAACCCACCTCGTCTTTAAAAGAGGGTTGGGGAAACTTGTTGGGACATCTTCATTGCTTCTGCCCAGTTCTAAACTCCTTACGCTGACCCAGAACTTCTGTATTGTGACTCCTGAGCACCAGGTCTGCTTTCCAGCTTGTACTTGAATATGGTTGCAGAAGTAAAGACTTCTTTCTTACTTCCAAATAAGAGTATCTGTCTATATGCAGAGGTAGGCAACCTAAGGCCCAATCGCCTTCTAAATCTGGCCCATGGACGGTCCGGGAATCAGCGTGTTTTTACATGAGTAGAATGTATGCTTTTATTTAAAATGCATCTCTGGATTATTTGTGGGGCATAGGAATTCGTTCATTCCTCCCCCCCAAAAAAATATAATCCAGCCAACCACATGGTCTGTGGGACGCGGACCGGCCCATGGCTGAAAAAGGTTGCTGACCCCTGGTCTATATGTGTTGTATGGGAGCCTCGCCACTCTCCACACCCCTGTTTCTGGTGCTGGAAAGAGTGGGAAGGCAAGAGATGAGCTGGAACCCATTCTTGCCCCTTATCTTGCCCCCAGAGGAGGGGAAAAGTTGGCCACCCAACCAATTGAAGTGGAAGAACCATAGTGCAGAGCAACATGAAGCCTCTTAAAGGGTACCTGCACATTTTGCTTCATAGCTTTTTTTTCCTGGAAGAGCTGGAGGCTTAAAAAAAAATTCAAGCTCACTCTCTGACTTCTGATTGGGGCTGCTAATGAAGGCCTTCATGGACCCCATGGGGCAGAAGAAAATATTCCCATGTACTGTTCAAAATTGGTTCATAGACAGGAAAGAAAAGATCATGACCTGGATATATGAAGAACTCTCCTTTTCTAACTAGACAAAACACACTCCATGTGTGTTGCTCTTAATGCCCTTCCAGGCTAAACAATAAAATGATGATGATGATGATGATGATGATGATGATGATAATAATAATAATAATAATAATAATAATAATAATAATTTATTATTTATATCCCGCCCATCTGGCTGGGTTTCCCCAGCCATTCTGGGCAGCTTCCAACCAAATATTAAAAACACAATACAGCATTAAACATTAAAAACACCCCTAAAGCAAGGTGGTTTTCAGACCAACCATCTTGAGTTGGCTGAGGGTCTGCATTCTTCTGTTTTAGGAGTAGCTGGGTAACCCAGGGGCATAAGTAATCCCTCAGTGCCCCCTTTTTCATATCAGTAGGTGGTGGCCACTGGTCCTACAAACACATATGTCTTGGGTAGCCTGTTATTTTTTGTTGACTTAAGAAAGAATATGGAGAAACAAAACTTGGAACGTGGGGACAAACTTGAGGCAAGCCTATGCTCTCTGGCAACAGAGTGGGCATTCAACAGAGAAGTACAGTCAGTCCTTTTTTTTAAATAATATTTATTACTTTTACAACAATTTAAACACTACAAAGAAAAAGAAAACAAAAAACAACTACAATACAATACAATACAATACAATACAATACAAAAACACTGAGAAGTACAGTCAGTCAGTCCTGTCTCTCTGGTGAATGAACCTGTTTGGCTTACATGCTTGCCACATTCACTCTTTAGGTGTACATTTAAGGTTGTTTGACTGTGGACAGTGTAAGAGTTGCTGCAACGGAATCCCTGATCTGGACTTTGTGTAGAGTAGAAAAGAATTTGCTCTCCATCACAAGAATGAGCTTCAAAGCTTTACTGAAAACAGTCTTAAAATAGTTACAAATAAATACTACAAAAGTACAGAGGAACACATTGCTGTTTAACGAGTTAGCAATGTAGTCCTGTCTTCGTTTTAGTCCTTAATACTGTTTAATAAACTGCTGGCTCCATTGCTGACAAAGAAGCTGACCTTCTCAGGTTTCACCTTCCTGCTTTGAGAGATCTGCAGCTTGGGTACTGGGATGAGTCATCATTTAACCCAAAGACTGAAACAGAAAACTCTTAACCTTTTCTGCCGCATTTGCCAGAGTGAAACATCTTGCTTAGTGCAGACTTCCCAACTTTGGAAATGCAAACTTTTACCTAAGTTTTTTCAAACTTCAATGCATATAAATATTACATTTTATACATATTAAACTTATATCTTTAACAGACGGGCACTTAGACTGATACACATCCGCTCAAGAGATACTCAAAGATGTCTTAAGATTCCTGTTAATCAAGAGAAAGGTGTAAGGTCATTTTCAATTTCTGAAAGTCCTTCTTTGTTCTTCCAGGAAGCATTGGAGCAACAGCTTGGAATAATTCAGGGACAAACAATGAAGGTTCTCTTGTCCCTCTTCCCACAGATCCAGTTAGGTGATCAGCAGGTAAGCAGCAATTGTTGCTTAATGCTCTCCAGACCTGAAGTGCATGGTGATTCAGGCAGTTTCAAATGGAAATAACATTTTTAAAAAAACTAAAGGGAAAGATGCACAGCAAAAGAATGCTGTACACACATGTTTCTGGGTGCAGTCCTCTGTACTTCCAGTAACAAATGCCTCTGGCAGTGGGGCTTGAAGAGTTGCTGCCATTCCAGGGGCGCCATGGTTCAGTGGACAGCTTCATCACTTAATTTGTTGTTGTTTAGTCATCTTAGTCGTGTTCGACTCTCTGTGATCCCACGAACCAGAGCATGCCTTGGAAACTCACTTTCTTCTCAAAGCTTCTCCTTTTTTATGTCCGTGGCGTTTTCTTGGCAAAATACTGGAGTGGTTTGCCAGTTCCTTCTCCAGGTGGATCACATTTAGTCTAAACTCTCGGCTATGACCTGTCGCTCCTCCACCTGCAGCTGCTGGGTGACCTTGGGCCAGTCACACTTCTTTGAAGTCTCTCAGCCCCACTCACCTCACAGAGTGTTTGTTGTGGAGGAGGAAGGGAAAGGAGAATGTTAGCCGCTTTGAGACTCCTTAAAGGGAGTGAAAGGCGGGATATCAAATCCAAACTCTTCTTCTTCTTCTTCTTCTTCTTCTTCTTCTTCTCTTCTTCTTCTTCTTCTTCTGTCCATCTTGGGTGGCCCTGCACGGCATAGCTCATAGCTTCTCTGAGTTATTCAAGCCCCTTCGCAAGGCAGTGATCCATGAAGCGGCATCACTTACATAGGAAAGCGAAATTAAGACAGTGAGCTACCTAATGGCTGTGAGCAAATGGAGTCGTACTGGCACATCTTTTAATGCAAACTATACTAGCAACACGGGACACGGGTGGTGCTGTGGGTTAAACCACAGAGCCTAGGACTTGCCAATCAGAAGGTCGGCGGTTCGAATCCCCGCGACGGAGTAAGCTCCCATTGCTCGGTCCCTGCTCCTGCCAACTTAGCAATTCAAAAACACATCAAAGTGCAAGTTATAAATAGTTTACCTTCTGGCAGGAAGGTAAACGGCGTTTCCATGTGCTGCTCTGGTTTGCCAGAAGCGGCTTAGTCTTGCTGGCCACATGACCGGAAGCTGTACGCCAGCTCCCTCAGCCAATAAAGCGAGATGAGCGCCGCAATCCCAGAGTCGTCCGAAACTGGACCTAATGGTCAGGGGTCCTTTACCTTTATACTAGCAACACAGTTTATGCTAAGGACCCAAGTCCAGTGGGAAGCCCTTTCTGCGAAGCTCCTTTAAGTTTTATTAGCAGATGTGTTTCTGAAAGGAAAGTTTTGTTGGTTAAAATCATTCCCCGGAAGAAAGTGGTGAGGAACCACTGTACATTAGAGATATTTTTTAAAATATTAAGGGTTTTATAAATGGTGTAAATAAATAAATTAAAAAATGGTATCCCAAACCCAGGACAGATGGTTTCTGTGCTTTCGGCTACTGGGTAACTGGTTTTTATTGGACTGGGATCTTAAAGTCTTAAGCCGGTTGAGGAGAGAAGGAGTGTTTGAAGGCAGCAGACAACATTAAAAAGGGATCCATAAAGGGAGATTAAGAGAAGGTAAGGAATTGAGACAGAGTGATTTAGACAAGTACAAGCTCTTAAAAATGGACAGACTGTTGAAAGTATGAGCTGGAAAGGAATATAATACTCGGCAATGTTTATGCACTTCATAAGCCCAGACTGGCTGGGGAGGCCCAGCCAGATGGGTGGGATATAAGTAATTTATTATTATTATTATTATTATTACTACTATTATTATTTTTATTATTATTATTATTATTATTATTATTATTATTATTATTTGTTTCCTTCTCAGGCGTATGCTGAATGGTTGCAACAGTTTAAAGAAAAGGCTTTGGAAACACTTCAGTCTCAGGGTGCAAGAACAGAACCTGTAGGTATAATCTGCAAATACCCTCACATGAAAAGTGTTATACAACACAGTAACAAATATTGTGGGTGGACAGTACTAATAAGGCCTCATTTGGAGAACCTGACATTGAGCCGCACAATAGCGGCGGAGGTTTTCTTTGTCGAATAGCAGCTGAACGGGCAGCAATAGCAACGTCCCTCCTATGGAAGGGAGGCAATTTTTTATTGGGAATGCAGTGCAGAGGGAAAGAATGGCAGAAAACCCATGGACCCCAACTGGGCCTGTCTGTGGCTACTACAACATAACATAAAACATAAAATTTTATTACGGCCTTAGGCCCATACAAGTAAAAACAACACATAAATAACAGCTTGTGCACGTGGGAAAAAACAGCCGCTAAAACACCACTATAACAATAAAATGCTATAAGATGGAATGGCATACTACGCCTTAATTAGCTGAAGTGCTCCTTGGCGTCGCTTTTGGGTAAGGACAGCGACCAGGAACCTAGCCACTTTCAGGGTCGTGTGGGTATCCTTATCCTGCAAGATTTGGGCAAGGTGGAATTTTGGTGGGGTACTCTCTAGTTTCTGTATGATTGATCCCAACAAATTTGCCCGTGGCACATTGAACAAGGGGCAAGTGAACATAATGTGCTGGAGCGACTCCGGCGTCTCCTTATCACATTCGCACGTGGCGGAGGCTTGGCCCTTTGAGAATCTATGTCTCAGGACATTGGAGGGAAAAACGTTAAACCTCGCTTTGGTGAAGGCCAGTCTATGGGCAACAGTCGAAAGGGAGGAGAGGTATGATGGAACGCAGTAAGTTAAAGTGATACCAATGTTCTGGCTACTACAATCGTACCTTGGATCCTGAACGCCCTGGAACTCAGACGTTTTGGCTCCTGAACGTCGCAAACCCGGAAGTGATTGTTCTGGTTTGCAAACGTTCTTTTGGAACCCGAACGTCCGACAGGGCTTCCACAGCTTCTCATTGGCTACAGGACCTTCCTGCAGCCAATCAGAAGCCGCAGTTTGGTTTTCGAACGTTTTGGAAGTCGAACGGTCTTTCACAAACAAACAGAAAATCACACAAACCCAACACATTGGATACGATCACACACATTGTAACATATTGTGTAGTTTGGTCATTTGTCTAGTGGCAGATATCCATGTTTGAGAAAGGCTAATAACTTGGTGTTAAATAAAACATTTGTTTATATATATATAATTTTTATTGGTTTTTACACGTTTTCCAAACGTAACATCCCATTTTAAACACCATAACAAACCTTTGGCTATCACAGCCTAGGACTTCCGTCAACCTCGACTAATGGTTTTCTAACTTCCTTTCTAATTTTGCATTTTATTATTATAATTATTGCTATCAAATCCAAATCCTAAATAAACTCCTTCTTAGTCCTCTTTCGCAATAATTCATATAGTTCTCCTTACAAAACTTCTTGTAGCCCTACAAGCGATGTCAATTGTTTACAATTGTCTTTCAAATATATCATGAATTTCTTCCAGTCCTTCAGGAAAGTCTGGTCTTGCTGGTTCCGAATTTTCCCAGTTAATTTTCACCAACTTGGCATAATCCATCAATTTCATCTGCCACTCTTCTTTTGTTGGTAATTCTTTCCTGCTTCCATCGTTGGGCTAAACCGCATCCTTGCTGCAGTTGTCGCATATAAAAAACAATTTTATCACACTTATGAGTCTCTGTGCGTACAATACCAAGTAAAAGGGCTTCTGGGTTTTTTTACAAATGTATATTTCAACATTTTTAAAATCTCATTATAAAACATTTCCCAGAAGTCCTTCACTTTCTTGCATTCCCACCACATATGGTAAAAAGTGCCTTCTTTTTACCTTACATTTCCAACATTTATTATTTGTTTTATACATTTTAGCTAATTTCACTGGTGTTATATACCATCTGTACATCATTTTCATTATATTTTCCTTTAAAGCACTGCAGGCAGTAAAATTTATTCCCTCTCTCCATAATTTTCCCCATTCTTCTAACTGTATATTGTGACCAATATATTTAGCCCAATGTTAAATAAAATATTTGGGCTCACCCCTCCTGCAGCTCTTAGTCAAAATACCTTCCAATGCCCTGGAAGCTTCCTCCTCCCATATTCTGCTCCTCCCCACCCCAGTGTGCACACAACAGTTTGAAAGCCTTGAATCCCTTAATGTAACAGGTCTAAGTAAGCAAAATGTGTTGCATGGACACATATTTTGCTTAAAGGTAAAGGGACCCCTGACCATGAGGTCCAGTCGTGGCCAACTCTGGGGTTGCAGCGCTCATCTTGCTTTACTGGCCGAGGGAGCCAGCGTACAGCTTCCGGGTCATGTGGCCAGCATGACTAAGCCGCTTCTGGCGAACCAGAGCAACGCACGGAAATGCTGTTTACCTTCCCGCCGGAGCAGTACCTATTTATCTACTTGCATTTCATGCTTTCGAACTGCTAGGTTGGCAGGAGCTGGGACCGAGCAAAGGGAGCTCACCCCGTTGTGGGGATTCAAACCGCCGACCTTCTGATCGGCAAGCCCTAGGCTCTGTGGTTTAACTCACAGCACCACCCACATCCCCTATTTGCTTAAAAGAGGATGGTAAATGCTAAATCACAGTCTAGAGGAGAAAACAAACAGCATCTAAATCTACATTTTATTTTCCCCAGATGTAAGTGGGTCAAGCCGATTTAAAATGGCACCAGGGGAGGATTTTGAGTCCTGGGTGTGGGAGGGTTTATCACCTTCCCTCAAGCTGGAGAAGACCACCAGCGATCACGATGAGTTGTAGCCAGTATAGCTCTAAGTGAAGATTTTGTCAGCACACGGATTTCTGTTTGTACAACATTCCCCTCTGTCCTGCCCACATGCACCCCCCCAGTCGGTTCTACGGGTTTCCCTCAACCCTGTGGAGCAGATTTGAGGAGATTTGCAGCATGTACAGGCAGATTAAAGGGGAGGAAGGTCTCATTGCAGAAGGGGAAATCCTTGCATGGATGGGATGAGTTAGTTGCCACATTGGCCAACTCTAGCAAGTAGTTTTGCCTTTCTGTATTTATTTGTGTATTCTCTGAAATTATTATATAAATACATTTGTGCAGCATATCATACCGACTCTGATTTTGGCATACTGAATTTTGTGGCATTTTTAGGGTTGGGGTTGATGGACTTTTTGGCTGCTTTCAACTCTGGTATTGAATCTACTCAGCGCAGTTTCCTCTAAAAGCTTGTCTCTGAAATGTGTTTTTAGGAGATGACACTTCCGTTAAGAGAAGCAAATGAGGCAATGAGTGCACTGCAAGCAGAATGTGATCAGTATAGGACCATTCTCGCAGAGACAGTAAGTGAAATTGTTTATACCGGATAGACATATTACATTGAGTCCAGTTGACTGGGTACCGCTCAGAAAAGTTGTTTTCCCGTAAGGGCCATTGTTTCAGTGCTTTGCTTGTCCTGGGTGTTATGTACTGAAGTTCTCACCCTGGGCCAGCATGAGGATACTGTAGATAGTTCAGGTCCACATATGCAAATAAGGGATCGAAAGTGACGTTCAGTGATTGGATAGTTACAGAAAGTGGTTACTGTTGCGTTGTAGTGGAGCTCTATATAAGCAGGCTGGCTGAACCCTTCAGTTCAGTTCTGGCCTGTGAATAAACAAGAGCTGTTTGAAGAATCGCTGTGTCGTCTGATATGTTCACCCACAACTTAACACTGGGATAGCTGCCACTTTTGGACATTCTACTCTATAAGAGACCTGTTCTGCTCCAGAGGAAGAACTGAGGGGAGAGAGACTTTCTGCAGGCAATGGCTTTTCCACCTGTCTTGCCCCACCCTCCGGCCCCGGGAGCCTTTCCCAGACTATGACTCTGAAAATAGCAGGAACAACCGAGAATAAAGGAGTTCAGGAATAGTTTTCTCGGAACAACGGATGTGGTTAATTATTCTATGTTTAACAGTTTTTAAGTTGTTAGTTTTTCCAAGTTCTGGAACTGAGCAGTCTCTTGCTCAAGATTTGCAGAGCTAGTGGCAACTCATCTAATGAGGAGAATGAACTTCAAATGTAAAGTCCTTTCTATTCTCAGTTGTGTTTTCATGCTTTGTTTCTCAAAACTAGGAAAGGATGCTCAAGGACTTGCAGAAGAGCGTGGAGGAGGAGGAGCAGGTGTGGAAAGCGAAGCTGATTGCATCTGAAGAAGCACTTCAGAAGGTACTTGCCGAAGGGGAGTGTGTGTCTTCGCGTGCGTGCTTTAAGAGTTGTTACCGAAACCACTTTCTCCTTGTGACCAGTATGAGCACTTCACTGTGCAAGGAAGGTGTTTGATCAGGTCAACCATCACTTTCCACTGTGCAGCGCAGAGGTGATGGTGAAATATGTCATTGGTTTACCCCTCTGCCAACAATATTAGGCACTTCCCCTCAGGTGGTTTAGATAATGGAGGTGAACGTGTGTAGCTTTTTTAGTTATGTGTTAAGGAAGAACCGCCTGAGATCTATGGGTGAAAGGCAGTATATAAATTTCATTAATTAATAATAATGATGTTGATGATGATGATAATAGTAATACTAATACACAGCTGGAAATTCTCTACTTGCAACTTCACTTTCAGCCGATAGCCCTCAGGTGTTTTGTCTTGTTTTCCTTGAGCCCAAGGCATGTAAGCAGAACTCTAGATGGCATATTTGTGCCAAGATATCTCTCAAATGAAAATATTGATGGTAAATGCTATACACTAATGCTCTAATTTCTGGTCCCTTGGGTGTGGGAAATGCTTCATTTAGTCCCAGGACCAAATGAAATCTCTTGAAGATGATGTGGAGAAGTTAAAGATGGAACTTCAGAATACAGACAAGGTATGGAAGCATTCCAAGACTCCAGAAGGAAAGTACATGAAAAATTTGAAAATGGGGCATTTTACCTCTTTCCTTTAGACTGTGGGACAGGAAATTGGCTAGCGCAGAGCAAGCCCAAAGCATGTCTGGGATGAGGAATCCCAACCCAGCCTTTCCTTAAGAGGAGGGAGGATTTATTGTGGTGTCCAGGAATGTATAAATATGATCCCAATGCAATTTTTTTGGTATAAGGGGGAAATGTGATCTTAACAGCTTCCTGTTGTTCTCCCTGCTCCCCACTTTTTTAACAGCTGAAAGAATACACCTCTCTCTTGGAAGCACAGCTGGAAAATCACTTGGCAACAGCCAACTCCGAACGTCAGAATTACATGAAAGAAGTTGAGCATGTAAGTGTTTGTGAGACATTTGAGTTCTTAGGGAAGGTGTATCCATCATGATTTGGAGAATTGGTGGCTGAAAAAGGTTAAGGAAATAATCATGTGGTGTCAGCGAAGAAAAGTAGATGCACCTTTTTAAGCTCGTGGTAAAGAAATAGGCATCCTTTTGAGTTACAGAGAACTATTCTGTGATTCAGCAGAAAGTGTTCACAGGTTCAGTGTGGGGGGAAATAATAAAAGGTACTTGCCATTTAATAATCTAGACCCCTGATTGTTAAAACACTTCTTTGAATGCAGTCCTACTGGGTGAATAGAATCTTTATTGACTTTTGCTTTGATTTTAAGTTGCATTGGTGGCTTAACAATCAAATGAGAAGTCAAGTTATAGATCTCAAATATCAACACAAAAAGTTGTGTTTGTCCTCTTTCATAACACTTGAATTTCCAGTGAAGCTGAATGTTCGGAGAGTCATGACAGATAAAAAAAAGTGTTTCTTCCCGCAGTTAAACTATGGAACTTGGTCCCACACTAAGCAGTGTTGGCCACCAACCCTGATGGCTTTAAAAGAGAATTGGACAAATTGATGGGCATAAGGTTATTGAAGGCTACTGGCTACGGTGGCTGTGCTCTGCCTCTAAAGTTCCAAATTCCAGTTGCTGGAAACCACAAGAGGGTTCTTTTGCTTCAATCCTGCTACTGGTTTCCTACAGGTTTTGGCCACTGTGAGAACATGATACAGGCTCTCATTAGATTCTTAGGATGTCTGTTCTTGGAAAACCAAGATCAAGGAAGAGGGAGGGTGTGGCGATCACACAGGGCCCCCAGAGGTTTGACAGTCTATTGACCCTTTGCCACCACTGTGATTGCCTTCTTCGCTGCCACCACCCCGCTTCTCACAGGGACAGATGGAGTCCAGACAGTTGTTAACATTAACAAATAATCAAATTTATTTTTAAATGCAGGGACAAGTGTATGGTTTCAATTAATTTTTCTTGTCAGTTTCTTAAATCTTAGTTCCTAACAACTTCAAACTGATTAGTCCCAACTATCTATCTTACTCCACCTGACAATTCCTCTCACTCTCTCACAATACAACTCTACCAACCCGCACCTAATCCTCCCTCTTCCTTCTCCAATTCCCAAACCTCAACTCCCAAACCTCCACTCTAACTTTTACTCCCCCCTTGCATTCTCACTGGCCAATCACATCACACCCATTTTAACCCTTTCCTTATTACCCATCCTAGGAGGCAAAGGCCACAGAGGGTTTGAAGCACAGTGTGCAGAACTAAGTGCTTAAATAGAAAGCATGTTCTGTTGTCAGGAAATCCTCAGAAATACAAGAAAATATTTAATTAAAAATTGTTGTTGTTGTTGTTGTTTAAAAGAAATAAATCATTAAGTTTAACCCTGATGGATACCATAAAGTATCACACTGGATGGAGGAGAAATCTGTTGTAAATGGATTTATGCATGGAATTTTATGCGATGTGAGCTTTGTTTGCATCAGGCTGCCTCCTGTATTGAGCTCCTACTTCTGTTAACCACTGATACATTTTTGTTTTTTAAAAGCCTAAGTATTATATTAATACTAAACAGAGAAAAGAGTCGAGCTCTATGCCTTGCCATATTTCTGCAACATAACTGAGGGCAGCTGATTTGCATTAGAGTCAACATCAGTCACATTTTTGAGCTGCAGCTCAACATTTTCTACATTTTTCAGCTCAGTGGCAGAGCTGAGTTCACTGTTGAGACGCTCTGTGCTGAGCCCGACTAGGCGGATAGAAACTTTATTTGCATTAGCCACTATCCATAGCAATAAGATAAGATATACTGGGGACAGAGCTAAATAGTTAGCTATACAAAATACATTCTAGAGGTTTAAAGGTAAAGGGACCCCTGACCATTAGGTTCAGTCGTGACCGACTCTGGGGTTGCAGCGCTCATCTCGCTTTACTGGCCGAGGGAGCTGGCGTACAGCTTCCGGGTCATGTGGCCAGCATGACTAAGCCGCTTCTGGCGAACCAGAGCAGCACACGGAAACGCCATTTACCTTCCCACCGGAGCGGTACCTATTTATCTACTTGCACTTTGATGTGCTTTCAAACTGCTAGGTGGGCAGGAGCAGGGACCGAGCAACTGGAGCTCACCCCGTTGCGGGGATTCGAACCGCCGACCTTCTGATCGGCAAGTCCTAGGCTCTGTGGTTTAACCCACAGCACCACCCGTGTCCCTTCTAGAGGTTTATATCAATACCAAACAGACTTAAGTTTCAGCACAAACTGAACCTGCATGGTGAAAACCATGAGCACTGAAAGAACACAGACAAGCAGTGACCCCATCCTTAGTTATATGGTCGCAGAAGGTTATGGCTCTTCATCTTCAAATAAATGCTGTTTATATACTAAGGCAGGCATAGGCAAACTTGGCCCTCCAGATGTTTTGGAACTACAACTCCCATCATCCCTAGCTACCAGGACCAGTGGTCAGGGATGATGGGAATTGTAGTCTCAAAACATCTGGAGGGCCGAGTTTGCCTTTGCCTATACTAAGGTAATGCAATTGTGTCTCTATGTGTTTTAGCTGAGACAACTGTTATCTGAATCCCAAGAACACCTGGACTCAAGAAAAACAGAAGCACTCAAAAAAGCCCAGGAGCTGGCTCAGGTAAATGATTACATCATGACAGAGTTTCCTCATTGTTGTCAATAAGATAGTAAAACTTATAGGCCACGGGTAAACCTCAAGCCCACATAACAATATTTGAAGTCACTTCGCCACTGATGTCAAGATTGGGGGCTCTTAATTTGGAGGTCTTGCAACTGCCACAAGTTATTGTGTTAACAATAGCAAGTTTGTTTTCACTGGTGTGTGTTGACAGTCCTGTAAAGGAACACAAGCCTCAGCCAAGTCGGTTTGGGTTCCATACAAAAAATAAAATAAAATAAACCCTGTCCACAGAAACTAGTATGTGAATTTATTCTCAAATTCTTCATGTAGACATTTTGGGCCAAACCACACATTATGCTTTATGCATAACATGCAGCAGTGTCTCTTGTTTTTTTCCCTTTCATTACTGGCATAAAGGTAAAGGGACCCCTGACCAACCCCATGACCGACTCTGGGGTTGCGGCGCTCATCTTGCTTTATTGGCCGAGGGAGCTGGCATACAGCTTCCGGGTCATGTGGCCAGCAATGACTAAGCCGCTTCTGGCAAACCAGAGCAGCACACGGAAACGCCGTTTACCTTCCCGTAGGAGCGGGACCTATTTATCTACTTGCACTGGTGTGCTTTCGAACTGCTAGGTTGGCAGGAGCAGGGACCGAGCAACGGGAGCTCACCCCGTGATGGGGATTCGAACCGCTGAACTTCTGATCAGCAAGTCCTAGGCTCTGTGGTTTAACCCACAGCGCCACTCGCGTCTCCCCATTACTGGCATAAAGTCTCCCAATTTCTTCTTGAGATTACTGAGAGGAAGATTCATCCCTTCTCTTACCAGCCAGGATTAGGCCAAAAACCTCTCCTCACTTTGTCTGCACCAAGAGCTTTCTCTGGTGTGCTTCTAACATGCACACACACTGCGGCTGTGCGATTTAGGGGACAATCAGTAGCAGGAGGGGAGCTAATAGATAAGTAACACATTTATGAGATATTGTGCCCCATACTTGAAAAACTATATTTCCGTTATATTACAAAGAGGTCCTTGTCCCAATGTACTTTTCATTAACATTTCCTGCTTCCAAATCAGCACAGCTATTTGCATGGGGTCTAATCAATACCCAGCAAGTACTTTTCATTAACATTTCCTGCTTCCAAATCAGCACAGCTATTTGCATGGGGTCTAATCAATACCCAGCAATTACTGCTTGTACCATACTGGAGTGGCTTTGTTTTGTGTGCCCCTCTGGGTGGTTTTCAGTTCAGTATTAGAAGTTTAGCTTTGTATGTGGTTTTGGACAATGGTTTCAATACTGGGTCTTTAAACGGGCCTGACATTTTCAGTGTTTGATGCACCAGATTTGACCACATTTTATTAGCATCATTAGTGGTAATAAAAATATTCTAGATGAAGTTTTATGTGTTTATGAACCGCCTTCCATTGCCTGTCCTGAGAAGTTTCCAGCTTGACAAGTCTCTTTTTTATTAAAGCGTTTGTTAATTCGGCTCTTCAAGAGTGCAGCTGATTTAAACTTCACCTTTTTTTGAAATTCAAGGCTCAGGATTTGGTGCGCAGCTTGCAGGCTGAACTGGAGAAGCTAAAACTTGGTGGAAATGAGGCTGCCAAGGAAGATGTTTTGCGGCTCCAGGTAAGGCTTCTACCGCTGGGTTGCTTTAGGCAGAGGGAGGAACAAGGCAGAGATGTGGGAACTCAACACTGAATTCCACCTCCTTGGAAATACCACAATTATTCAAATAATTGTTTGTTTGTTTGTTTGTTTTGCCAACTGAAGGAAACACTAGAGAAGGAGAAGAAGTTAACAAAGGACTTGGGATGTGCAGCTACCAAACTAAAAGAGCTTTTGCAAGTCACCCAAGAGCAGCTGGCTAAGGAAAAAGACACAGTGGTAAAACTGCAGGAACAGCTGAAGGAAACGGTACTTGAATGCCTTCTCTTTCCTTGACTCATCTGCCCACATTAACCTGGCATTGTCTCCTATTGGAACAAGAAACAATTTTTGGTACTGAAGAACGTGGAGGGCAGCGCTAAACATTGTTAAAATATAGGGCTTCAGTTGACTGTGGTAACCCAGCACCTGCCCCCCCCCCCATTGCCCTCTGCAACATGAGATACAATTTGTACAACGTAGTAAGATCAGAGCTTGCAGATAAGCGCATGACGTATTATGCAGGAGGAGGAGGGATTGTACAATTCAGAAACCCCGAAATTCCTACATTAATTTTGTCTCTGTAAGACCCCAGTATAAACCGCATTTGAATTCCTCACATCTGTAATCTTAATTTACAAGGTTTCTTTAAAAAAAATTCTGTTCTGTTCTTGAAAACTGTTTAGAACACCAAGTGCAATAACTTACTTTTCATCCTCTTCAGGGAGAAAATGAAGACGTTGCCAAGGAAGGCACATCCGTTTGACCGAACCGAAATCCAGGACAAGTTTTTCACCATATGAAATGCCTTAACACTTTTCTAAACTATGCACTTGTTTAATGTAGGCAGAAGCAAAAGAAAGAAAGAAAAAAGACACTATTGACCAGAAATGGCTTTAGTGTTTTTTTTTTTAAAGAATAAAAGTAAACTGGGCAAGAACCCATCAATAAACACACTCTTTGACTATGTTGTAAAAACTGCAATAATTCCTGCTGCAGGAAAAACTCTGGGCCATGAGGAGGAACCCGGTAGCTTTGGCATCATGCCTGATCGATGGGGTGATTGCCACCGTCAAAATGGCCTTGAAAATTGTGTGAAATACTATTAAGACAAACATGGCTTGGGTAATCTCATAGATTCGCCGTGAAACCCCATCCATTGCCTTGGGAGCATTTGATGAAGTTACGTGTGGCTATAAGCAGCCTGCCTACACAATCACGGTGGTTTGTCTCTATGTGAACACATTGCAACATCTGGGAGAGGACACCACGTGTCGCTGTTGCTTGCAAGGGACAGACAAACACCATTCCAAAGGCAGGCTGCGTCCACATTCTGAATACTGGAGTCTCTTCCAGAAGCAGGGAACCCTTCCGTTTCCCAACTGTGTTCCAGGAAGGCTGGGACTCCGTCTTCTTAAGGGCTCCTTACTGTCCTAGTTGCTGCAGCACAAACAAGTTACAGGTGCTACTGTCATGCCCTGTTTGTGGGCTTCTCCCAAACAGCTGGTTGATCGCAATTAAAAACGGGATTCTGCGCCTAGCTTGAGTAGAGGTATTAAATTTTTAAGAAGATTAGTAATGGCAGCTTCCCTAATATTCTCTGGCAGCACACATGAAAACATGGAGCGTGTTCATAGTTTGACTTAACATTAGAGCCCAACAGGACTGATTTGTGCTGCACGTCAACTGTGTGTTGTACTGCAGTCCAGAATATACCCTGCGGCAGTGGTTTTCAACTCTTTTGAGTCCACAGCTCCCTTGACCAAACACATTCTTTCTGTGGCACCCCAGTGAGACCCACTTACACTGGGGTTCCCCCATTCTGCCGCTGCCCCATTCCACCCTGCCTCCTTTCAGCGCCGGTTTTGGTGCGCATGTAAGTGGGAGCGCATGTGACGATGGGAGCCCAAGCAACGCCACTGCTCTGCAGGACTGAGCTGAAGCACTCCACATGGTAGCACCTTTCCTGAAATTAGTGTGCACAATGGGGGTGGAGAGAGCAAAACAAGATAAAGCGTGCAGCCAACACAGAATGGGCTGTTATAACGCCTCTTCGTCCAATTACTTTGCCCCTTTGTATTTCGCAGTGTGTCTGCCCAGTTTGATAATGAAGTGAGAAATGTTCCTGGTGAAATGTATGCTGTCCAATTAAAAACAGAATGTATACATCAAACTACAATTATTTGTGCATTGAGCTCGTATTGGAGCTTTGGATCTATAATGCTGTTTTAAAAAACACAAAAACACAAGCAAACATGAGAGCTGTCAAAGACAGAAATATATTACTGCTTTGCATTGCAAAGTACATTCAAGAATATTGTGGCATTGCATTGGAAAAACTACGTAAATTCCCTGAGCTTCCTCCTTAAGTAATCACCGTTCAAGAGAAATCAAGTGTAGAGGAATTTGCTATGTATTTTTGTAATTCTGAATGTTAACTTGTAACCACAGAAGAGCTCCCATGGTCTCTCAGTTCATGGTGACGCAACAAGCCCAAATAAACAGCCAACAAGCCCAAATAAATGCATTACATGCTATTTCATCAGTACATGGGAAAATATGAGTTTGTACTATCCAGATGTAATGGGGCTGCTATAAACAGCTTATTGAGGAGGGAAATGCCTCTTTATTTGAGGATATGATTAGCACATTGGTTAGCCTTCAGCTATGAATTGCCAGAAATGTGCCGGAAGCAGCTCTTCCTGGGAAGCTGAAGCCTGCCGAGCACATCCTTTCAGAAAAGTCCTTTGCTTCAATATCTGAAGTTATTTTTATATTATAGTCAACATTTCAGAACAACAGACAGATTTCTCCCTACTCAGATACAGAGTTTGGATCTATTTTGCTCTGTACAAACTCCAGTGATGTAGTGTAAGCCTCTGAATAATAAAATAAATAAACAACAAAAGGGGGGGGGGAAACCCCACAAGTTTCCTAAAAAAACCTGCTGGCTGCTGAACCATTGCAGTGAAAGAATTTAAAGCGGATAGACTGCATTTCCCTTCAAAATGACAAATGCGAAGTGCTTTGTATGTCAGCGTCGCATTTTCTTCGCTTTTCTTTTCAATATAAACTCTTGTTTTTGCAGCTGACCGTGTGTCTTCTCCCGGTGGAAACGCGCGTGTTGACCTCTAGATCCAAACACACACATACAGAGAGAGCACACACGTGTCATGAGCAAGCGGTCCTTGCCCTTTAAATTGTTCCATCCTTAACAAAAGCTCCTGTTTCCAAAATAAATAAATTAATAAATCAGCTTTCTTTTCTTTTTCAAGTGAATTTTCCCGGATTTCATCCTTTTTTGCGACCCGCCTCCTTGAGGTTCATCTGCAGCGGGCAAGCGGCGTCTGGAACGTGCGGAATAAACCCGCGAATAAACCCGCGGTCGGAATCCCTCCGCGCTCGACCGGCGGAGAAGGGCGGGGCTTATTCAGGCCCCTCCCCCTCCCCCCTCGGCCAATCGCGAGAGGCGGCCGGGGCTCGTCGTCTCCGTCGTCGCGCTGCTCCTGCTCGGCGGGCGCCACAGGTGCCCCTTCGGAGGCCTCGCTCGGCAGGCGAGCCGCGGGGCTTCGGCCTGGCTATGGCGGCGGCGGCGGCGGCCTGGTCGGCCTCCCCGTGAGGCGGCGGTGGCGAGGTGAGCGCTCTGAGGGGAGAAGGGCCTCGCCGCCAGGGAAGCCGGCGCCGGGGCCTCGTCTCCCTCCGCGCCGCCGGGCAGGAGCAGCGCCCGTAGCCGGAGAACCGGCGCGGGGGAGCGGACTCTGGAGCCGCCCTGGAAGCGGCGCTGCTCCGCGGGGCCTCCCGGGGTCCCTGTTTTTGATTAGACTCTGAAACGTCCCGCTTTCCCTTCAGGCAACGTCCCTATTTCCATCAGAGAAATGTTGAAGGGACGCCAGGATGCGACCCTCTAGCCACCTGAATATAAGGAACTTTTCAAATGTTTTATTACGTTTTTAAAGATGTGGGAAGCTGCCCAGAGTATGTGGGACAACCCAGTCAGATGGGGGTGGGTATAAATAGTATTATTATTATTATTATTATTATTATTATTTGAGTAGGAGGTCCCTATTTCCATCAGAGAAATGATGAAGGGACGTGGGGATGCGACCCTCTAGCCACCTGAAGGCAGCCCTGTATAAGGAACTTTTTAAATGTTTTATTACGTTTTTAAAGATGTGGGAAGCTGCCCAGAGTGTGTGGGGCAACTCAGTCAAATAGGGTGGGTATAAATAATAGTATTTTTTTATTATTATTATTATTATTATTATTATTATTATTATTATTTGAGTAGGAGGTCCCTATTTCCATCAGAGAAATGATGAAGGGACGTGGGGATGCGACCCTCTAGCCACCTGAAGGCAGCCCCGTACAAGGAACTTTTTAAATGTTTTATTACGTTTTTAAAGATGTGGGAAGCTGCCCAAAGTGTGTGGGGCAACTCAGTCAGATAGGGTGGGTATAAATAATAGTATTTATTATTATTATTATTATTATTTGAGTAGGAGGTCCCTATTTCCATCAGAGAAATGATGAAGGGACGCCAGGATGCGACCCTCTAGCCACCTGAAGGCAGCCCCGTATAGGGAACTTTTCAAATGTTTTATTACGTTTTTGTAGATGTGGGAAGCTGCCCAGCGTGTGGGGGGCAACCCAGTCAGATGGGGGTGGGTATAAATAGTAGTGTTTATTATTATCATTATTATTATTATTATTTGAGTAGGAGGTCCCTATTTCCATTAGAGAAATGATGAAAGGATGCGACCCTCTAGCCACCTGAAGGTAGCCCCGTATAGGGAACTTTCCAAATGTTTTATTACGTTTTTAAAGATGTGGGAAGCTGCCCAGAGTATGTGGTACAACCAAGTCAGATGGGGGTGGGTATAAATAGTATTATTATTATTATTATTATTATTATTATTATTATTATTATTTGAGTAGGAGGTCCCTATTTCCATCAGAGAAATGTCAAAGGACGCAGGGATGCGACCCTCTAGCCACCTGAAGGTTGCCCCGTATAGGGAACTTTTTAAATGTTTTATTACGTTTTTAAAGATGTGGGAAGCTGCCCAGAGTATGTGGGACAACCCAGTCAGATGGGGGTGGGTATAAATAGTATTATTTTATTATTATTATTATTATTATTATTATTATTATTATTATTATTTGAGTAGGAGGTCCCTATTTCCATCAGAGAAATGATGAAAGGATGCGACCCTCTAGCCACCTGAAGGTAGCCCCGTATAGGGAACTTTCCAAATGTTTTATTACGTTTTTAAAGATGTGGGAAGCTGCCCAGAGTATGTGGTACAACCAAGTCAGATGGGGGTGGGTATAAATAGTATTATTTTTTTTAATTATTATTATTATTATTTGAGTAGGAGGTCCCTATTTCCATCAGAGAAATGATGAAGGGACGTGGGGATGCGACCCTCTAGCCACCTGAAGGTAGCCCCGTATAGGGAACTTTTCAAATGTTTTATTACGTTTTTGTAGATGTGGGAAGCTGCCCAGCGTGTGGGGGGCAACCCAGTCAGATGGGGGTGGGTATAAATAGTATTATTATTATTATTATTATTATTATTATTATTATTATTATTGAGTAGGAGGTCCCTATTTCCATCAGAGGAATGATGAAGGGACGTGGGGATGCGACCCTCTAGCCACCTAAAGGTAGCCCCGTATAGGGAACTTTTCAAATGTTTTTGTGGGGCAACCCAGTCAGATAGGGTGGGTATAAATAGTAAAATTATTGTTGTTGTTGTTGAATTTCCATCAGAGAAATGTTGGAAGGCCTTTTTTTGGAAGCCAAACGTCTGATGGGGCTTCTGTGACTTCCGATTGGCTGCAGGAGCTTCCTACAACCAATCAGAAGCCACACTTTGGTTTCTGAACGTTTCAGAAGTCAAACAGACTTCCAGAATGGAGTCCATTCAGCTTCCGAGATATGACTAGTTCTTTATCTCCTTGACA